AGTATCTGGTCAAAAGGCAAAAAGCAATATGACTTCATTTTCTTACATTTTATTTCCTCTAGAATTTAGTGTTAACTGTTGTATCTGGTTGATTTCGCTTTATTTTAAACTAGATTTATGCATTAAAAAAAATTTTAGTGTGTATTTTGCCTGCATGTATGTCTGTACAACGTACATTCCCGGTGCCTGTGGAGGCCAGAAGAGGGCATTAGCTACCCTGGGACTGACTGGAGTTAAGATGCTCGTAAACCACCATATGGCTGCTGGGAATCGAACCTGGATCCTCTGGAAAAGGAACATATGCTCTTAACAACTGAGCCATCTCTCTAGCCGTCATCTGGCAGTTTTTATATTTTAAAGCTTTCTGCATCTCTGCATTGGCAATTGGAGTTTCGGAGGTTCCAGCGTCTTCAAAACCAACTCTTCCTGGATGTCATTGATTTTCTTTATTCTTTCGTTGTCAATCTGTGCTATCACTAGAGGCTCAAGACATTGACATTGTGATTTATAGCATTAATACTAGATACTTTGCTTTACATTTTTGTCACTCCTAGTTATTAGTATAGAAGTTCCTCCAAAAAGTTGGACTATGGAAATGGATAGCCAGCAGTGAGAATATTTTTATTGGTTGGCTTGTATCTTTTGGAATGTGTATTCAATTTTCACTTGTGCTCATCATGATTTCATAGATCCAGTCACACAGTAGATGGTGTAAAGAAGGTGGAATTGTCTTCAGTCCCCTCCATAGGCTCTCTATCTCTTGCTAGTTGTTTTGGTCTGAAACAAGGTGTCTTTCTCTCTCTCTTTTTCTCTCTCTTTCTCTACCTTATATGTACATACATACATACATACATACATACATACATACAACACATTCAGACTCTCATGGAGCTTGCTATGTAGGTCTTAGTTGTAGCTGTCTTCGTGCCTCTGGTTTCTGAGAGCCACTGTGCTCATCAGGCTCGGGTTTATTCTTCCGGGTATCTGGTATTCAAACACATTTTCCTGGGGCTCAGATGTTATTTCCTTTCTTGCTGTTGATGCAACACTGTCAGTGTCTGTTACCTTTTCCAAAACTTGTTACTGAAATCTTCTTGTCCTGATTAATGGTTATTACTACTTTCAGATTATCAGGGATGGTATGGGTAAGGGTATCGCTGGGGTCAGTTTAATAAAGCAGTGATAGATCTTATCAGACTGATGGAACCTAGGTTTGCCCCAGCATGACTTCTCATGTTACTCTTGAGACCATTCTCCATTTTCATTTCTAGTTCAACTCATTTTCTCTGTTTTCATAATCTTCTTAAATGTAGACCCACTGCTTCAGCATCACTAAGAAGGACCTTCTTCCCTTCGGGGGGAGAACAGTTAGCTGATGACCTTCGTTTGTCAGTAGCTCCACAATCCTTATCTTTTGGCTAGTACTTAATTTCTTGGGAAACCTCTGCCCACTGACAAAGCATGGCATAGGTAGCTACTGTGCCTGTTTTGGCCCAGGGCAGGACTCCTGTAATGGGTGGTTTGCTGTGGAGCTCCCTACTGCACTGGCCACAACCCTGTGATTTGCATGAAGATCTGAGACTTCCTCAGCTTAATGCATCATATCAATAACCTTGGCTTCATGGATATTTAGATCTGCATCACGGTCCAGGTTTTCCATGCCCAGTCTTCTCCTTCCTTCCTTTATCTTTCACAGTAAATCTCCTATACTCTTTTCTTAACATGTCTCTCAGGAGACCCAGCTGATAATCCCACTCTAGTTATTTACCTAATTTCCTCTGATTGCAGTGAGGATTTTCTTTAATTTTTAGAACTGCATTTGTGTGTTTGTGAACAACAACCTGTGGGAATTGCTTCTTTCTATTTTGTGGGTCTCAGGCCATCAGGCTTGGTGACAAGTACCTTTAACATGCTGAACCATCTCTACAGCGAGGGTTCTTTCTTAAACTGTTTCTGTTTTGATTCTTCTCATTATTTCATAGTGAATTGTCTTCTATCGGGGAATTCTGCTTTTTTTTTTTTTTTAAGAGTCCACCTATTGCAGATAATGACAGTATTTACTCAGTTGTTTTCATATCTTTGTCATTTAAATTCTTCACCCATCCTTCTTTTTAAGACAAGGGAGAATAGAGGCAATATTGTTTGAGATTGGGTTAATTAAAAAGATAGCAAGTTACTCTAGTAAGGGATAAATAAAGTTAAAGGTTAGAAGACATCAATCAGATCATGTAAAAAAAAATTTTAATGGGGGAGGTTGTTGGACATGGTGGCACACACTTTTAATCCCAACACTTTGGAGACTGAGGCAGGCAATCTCTGAGTTTGAGGCCAGCCTGGTCTGCCCAGCAAGTTCCAGACCAGCCAGGGCTACAAAGTAAGACACTGTCTTACTAATCAATCAAAGTAATTGATAGACTAAACATTTTGTCCTTTATTCAGAATGGATTCTATTGGAAGTTTTTTGAGCAAAAATGTGACTTAGTGGGTGGTGGTGGTGGTGGCGTGTGTTCGTGCTCACGTGCATGTGTGTTTTGTTGTGTGTGAATGTATGTATGTGGTGTGTGCCACACAGTAGATGGTGTAAAGAAGGTGGAAAAGATGTCGCCCTCTGCTTTCCTGACAGAGTCTCTCTGAGCCTGAGCTGGTCCAGCAGGCCTGCCACTCCTCCACAGGCACATGGCCACACGTAGCTTTTTATATGAGTGCTGGGGATTTGAACTCAGGTCTTCAGGCTTATACAGCAAGTGCTCTTCCCTGCTGAGCCCTCTCTCCAGCCTGTTGTTTGTTTGTTTTGAAATAAGTTCTTGGCTGACCCGGAACTCACTATGTAGCTCAGACTGTTCTCAAACTTGCAGTAATCCTCCTGCCTCAGTTTTCCTACTGCTGATATTAGGCATGCATATCCTTACTCAGCTATAATTTAGTTTAAACAATGATTTTGGCTGACGTGTGGAGAACAGAATGAAGGGTAAAATGGATGGAAACGGAGAGCAGTTGACAAGAGTATTACAGTCATACAGTGATGCAAGTCTGTCTCTGTTTTGTCTTTTAGCAACTTCATACATCTGTGGGTTTTGGTTGTTCTCTGCTTTCCTGTCATTCTCCTCTACAGTTTCAATCATTCTTCCTAGCAAGCTCCAACCCCACCTTGTTTCCATGACTCTGTGTATGTGTATGACTTACTGAGTTAACTGGAGTTATAACAAGACATAGATATCTTGTACCAAGTAGTAGAATTAGTGTAAGGAAGGATCTGGCTGTGAAATAATATAGAAAAACATTAAGATTAATGCTTGATATTGCCACTAGAAAAGAATAAAGTCTGCAGTTGGAAACCTAAGTGGAAGATAATTTGTTGTTTACTCTTTGTATTATTTGTGAGTATGTATGTGTGTTGAGTGCATTGCTCACACGCAATCTGAGCACATATAAAGTTTGTTGGATTCCCTGGAGTTGGAATTACAGTTTTGAGGCACCTGGTATGGGTGCTGCAAGTGTTCTTAACTGCTGAGCCTTCTCTACAGCCCTTGATTACACTTAATAAAGGAGTATCTAAATCCATGTTGTCTGTCTGTGAAACTGTTAAAATTAATAGCCTAGCTAAAAGTAATGTATATGGTGTCATGGAAGCAGCAACTTGTGTGTGTTGAGAAAAAAGGACATGTGGTTATACAATCCTGTAATCCCAGCATTTAAAAGGTACAATGGGGAGATCAGATGTTGAAAGTCAACCTCAGCTACACACTAAATTCAAATACCCTGTCTTGACCAGTTTATTAGTTGCTAGTACTCTCAGTATTTGATTATTGGTTGATTGCTTTACAGATTAGGTTTTATGTCGCAGAACTCGTTATGTAGTTGAGAATGGCCTTCCAAACGCTGAACTTAGCATATTTTTATGTGGCGTGTGTGTTTGTGTGAGAGTAACAGTAATTTTATACTGTTTATACATAATTTAAATCAATAATGCTCTTATCTTTAATACAGTGTTAGCACTACAATCTTAAATGTTTTGTTTTAGGTATTTAAAATATTGCAGATTAACTTAAATAAAGTTATGATACCCAAGGGTTTCATTTAAGAAACACATGGGAAAATTCCTTATGTTCAACATTTTTTAGATAATATATAGATATATAAAACTGTTTCTATATTTGATTAATAATCAAATGGAATGAAGACATGAAATATTAAATACATGGTGGATAGATATGAGAATCTATTAGTCTGATTCTAGGAATTTCTCCTAAGGAAATAAGTGGCAAGTGTATAATGATATATATAGGGTCACGGCTGTTTATAATATTGAAAATGTAACCTCAGAGACCACTATAAATTACAACAAACAATATTATGTAGTGGCTTAAAATAATGATTAAGCTTTATAGTTCTTGACTTGGTAAGGTCCATAGTCCACCAAAAGGTAAGGGAAACAAGTTTAAAGCGTTATGTGTCATATTCTGTCTATTGATGTCAAGATTACAACCCCCAGAAAAAGTAAGTAAAGATCTAGGCAGGCAAATACAGGAGAGGTTAGTATATCCTAACCCTTGAGGAATCACCTTCTTTTTCTCTATACAAAGATAATGTCTTTATTTTGTACCATATATGATTTAAAGACATAAATGGTCTTTTTGTTAGTATAGTGTAACAGTTAATCTTATGAATCTGTTTTGTATACTACAGTGTAAGTTTGGATTCATAGCAAATTAACCTCCTGATCATTAGAACTGTTTAGTGGCATAAAAATTTAGTCATCTGTCATGGTGGTCATTTATCAGGTAGACTTTCTTCTTAACAAATACCCTGAGTTTCTGGACTTGATCTTACGAACCTAATGGACAAAGTTTATTTTTACAAGAAAATTTCTTGTAAGAATGGTCAGGTAAAACATAAGGAAATGTATGTGTATATATGTATGCAAATTAAGTTGTAGTTTACCATATTTTAAGAATGCTGTTATTTATTGCTTCTAAAATATATGTTTTATTCCCACTTAGGCCGAATACACCAAGCAATGGTAACATCTTTAAATGAAGATAATGAAAGTGTAACTGTTGAATGGATAGAAAATGGAGATACAAAAGGCAAAGAGGTACTATTGCTATGTTAAACATCATTTCTAGTTAAGAGTCTGAATACAAAACAGAAAACTATGTAATTTTATAGGATATAGATATTCTGTATCATTCTTTTAAAAACTTGCAAATAGGAGCTACAGAGATGATCAGTGGTAAAGACCAATGGCTGCTCTTCCAGAAGACTCTGATTTAATTTTCTGCCCCAACATGGTGGTTCACAGCCATCTGGAACTAGTTTCAGGGGATCCAATACTTTTCTGGTATTTTTAGGACACCAAGTGTACACGTGGTACACAGACATTCATGTAGACAAAACACATACACATTAAGCATCTTTCCAATGAGTTTCAAAAATTAACTCAAAGAAAGAAAATCTTCTCTTCATATATCATCTGTTCATTAGCTCCGTGCACAAAATTTGAAAATTCTTGTATGTAAATTACAACTTTGTAGTTTCAATGGTTACTTTTTACTAACAGTTCTTAAAATCAAATGTAAAATATGGTAGATTATTGTTCTAAACAGTCTAGCTTGCAAAGTAGTGTCATACATTAGGTTGAAATAGTTTAAGAATCATTTTATCTATAACTTACATGTATTTGTTTAAACAGATTGACTTGGAAAGCATCTTTTCGCTTAACCCTGACCTTGTACCTGATGAAGAGATTGAACCCAGTCCAGAAATACCTCCACCCTCATCATCCTCAAAAGTAAACAAAATTGTAAAGGTTAGTTAGGCGCATGTACTCATATGTGCTGATTTGAAACTGATACACTGAAGAGTAGGTATAGTCTATGTTAAGTATTGGTTTTCGTTTTTAAAAAGTTCTTTACACCATCTGTCCAGTTCACAATTCAAGAAAATTTAAGAGAATCAGTTCATAAAAATTCCTTGCCTAATTAGGATATTTTTTTTTTGAGACTGATAGCGATCTCAGGAGAGATGAGGCAAAGCTGTTTTCTTGTTAGTGTTGAATGAACACTTACTGATTGATAAATCAATGAGTATTCTAATAAAGTTCTTTTTATTTTAACTTGATAAGAAACGGTTAAAGTAGTTTAACCACCTCTACGTTGTTGGTGAGGAGAAACTTGAGAGCAATGCTGCATCCTCTGGAGTAGCTGTGGTTCTGCAAAAGTTAAAAAGCCCATTAATTTTTTCACTTTTAAAGGTAGCTCTTCCATTCTCTTGAAACTCTTTATTCTATTAATACACTGCATGAAAACACAACCAGAGAGTTCTGCCTAGTAGTTGAACCTGTACTTCTAAATGTTTAATTCAGTGGCATCTATTGATTTTCTACCTTGTGCAGGTACTGTGTTAGAATACACAGATGAATATGATATATGGCTTGCAAGGTTATAGGGACTCCATATTTTGCAAGGAAAACATGCATAAATATTCAAATGTATCAGACTTAACCATCTACAGAATATTCTGCGTTTAAATTATATGTATGAATATAAATCAGTTTCAGTTTTTATAACTTAAAGTGAGTATCACTGCTTAAAGGTCCTTAATGTAAATGGACTGTTTCCATATACAGCTTCAGAACCTTAATGGATTGGCATGGTTTTACCTGTCCCCTGTTTGATTCCCATGTTGAAATCAAGCCCAATATTTCTTCTTTGCCTTGGCATCCTACCACCGAGCCAATATATCCTCAGGCCTTGGGTGTTGTTGTTAATCTCTATTTTACATTAAAGTCCCTAAGTGAAGTTTTAAAAATACTGTTCTGGGCTCCACTTCAGGAGACTAGTGTACCACTATGCAAATAGTACCTAATCTAATTTGAATGTGGGATTAAATATAACTAAATTATTTGCTGTGGTTTTGTTTTTAGGTGAATTCACTCTTAGTAGCTATATAAATAGGACCAGAAGTTGGTTGCCTTAATCTATGCAATAGCCAAGTGTTTGAAACCTGTATTGAAAGCTCCTTATGGTAACTGGCCATGTTTTTTACATAGCACTTTGATATTTCAGTTTAATAAAGGAGTCAATACTTTATTACCTCCTTAGATCCAAAGATGTAATTTACTATCAGTCCCTCAATCCAAGATCAAAAGTGCTCCAAAATCCAAGGTTTCTCTTTTTATTTGTTATTTTATTTGTGGTTTGTGTGTTGAGTGCAGGTGTGTGCATGCCATGCCATTCAGGTGGAGCTCAGAGGGCAAATTGCAGGACGTGGTTGTCACCGCTCACCTCCCACCGTGTTGAACCAGACTCTTTTGTTTGTGCTGTACTGTGTGCTCTGGACTCCTGTCCTATTGCAGAAGTGTTGGGATTTTAGGAGCACACAACCACATCTGGTTATCTTGTGTCTGGGGGGAGAGGGCTGTCTAGGATTGACTCAGTTTATACTTGTGCAGCAAGTGACTTTACTTGCTGAGCCATATTACCATCCCCCAAATGCAAATTTTTTGAGAACAAACATCAGACCACAGGAAAGAAATCCCACATGTGTGATCAATTTTAGTCAGAATGAAGCTACATCAAAAGTATTACACAAAATTATCTTCAGGGATAATTTTGGGTAAGAGCACTTGCACCACCATCATTGGATTCGAGTCCACATACTAGCATAGATGTAAGTAAAAGAAAGCAGCTGTGGCTGGTGCTCCACATACTGTAGCTACAGCTCTGTGGGAGGCGGAGACTGAGTTCCAGGGTCAGTGAGAGACCCCGGCTCAAGGAATAAGGTGGAGCATGACAGGAGCTACCAGACGTTTTCTTGGTTTTAAACACATAAATAAACACATGTGTACACACCACACACATCTTCAGGCTCTGTGTGGATAAGTTATATATTGAACATAAATGAATTTGCGTTTAAAGTTGAGTCCTATTAACAAAATATCCGATTTTACACACAAGTGCACATACACAAATATTCTAAGACATGAAGAAATACGGAATATTTCTAGTCTAGTCAGATAAGAGATACCCAGTGTGTACACAGTTTTGCAGATCGAATATAGTGTAGTTACTTAGGCTAACTTCAGATTCTCATCTGAAAAGGCAGTAATAATAAAATGGTGTTTTGATATCTGCTTGGTTGTAGTGGATCAATGATGGAAATAGTCAAATCTGAGCATCAAAGGACTGTCCGGTCTGCTTTGATGCATGATCTCTGTAGAAAGGAAGACTACATTTTCTCTCTTCCCCCACCATTCCCTGTCTTCCCCTACTCTCTGTGTTTTGTGTGTTTGTGTGAGTGTGTGTGCGTTGATTTGTTCAAATCTGAATAATGATGAAAAAAAATTGTATCACCAAACTTTTAAAGATGAACATACACATGACCTGAGCTCACAATTAAGAAAATAATGACTACATAGAGTTGTGCGAAACTGAAATGAATAGGGTTCTTTGCTATATTCCCTAATATATGGGGAATTAGGATAGATGCCTTGTACAAGAACTTGACTATAGATAAATTAGTAATTTTTTGGTTATTTATAGTTTTTTTCCATTTGGTTTTGTGTTACTGTTCTCTTTTTTCATTTAATTAAGAGAAGCTGAGGTAGTGATACTTGTGAGGAATAATGAGAAAAAAATACCGTGAATACATATATATATAAATTTTTTTTTTAGAACCGACGGACTGTGGCATCTATTAAGAATGACCCTCCCCCAAGAGATAATAGAGGTGAAGTAAAACTTTGTCCCTTAATTTTTCTTGACTTTTCTTCCTCTTTTTCTTTGTTTTTTAAAGGCCTGGATGTCTTGGTACTCACTTTATAGACCAGGCTGGCTTCAAGCCCAGAGATCCATCTGCTTCTGCCTTCCAGGTGTTGGGAGTAAAGGCATGTGCTACCATCACCCAGCTTTCTACTTTAGCATGACTTTGATGAAGTAAATACAACTCGGTGTTATTTGTTTAAACCATACACAGCTAATTTTAAAATTAGTATTCCTGATTTTCTAATAGCCCAGTCGCGTTCATAATCTTTCTCTAGTTTAAGAATGTGAGCTAGTCGTGATGAGGCATGCCTGTAATTCAAGTACTCAGGAGGCAAAGGCAGGAAGATCCCTGCAGGTTGGAAGCCAATTTAGTCTATGTAGGGAATTCTAGGCCAACAGACCTATATAGCAAGACTCTCAGTAAAACAAAACAAAATTTAAAAATGTATGTGTTGAATAGAAGTTCAGCAAAGTACATACTATTTATTCACTCAATTTTGAAATTTGAGGAGGGCATTAGAGAAGAAATGAGGAAGGAGTCAATGGTTGATGGTGTCACGGGTGAATTTCATTATCACTGGTTTGATCATAATTACCTTAGAGGCTTTCAAAAAAGTGTAACGGTTGTCTTTGGAGTGAATGGGTATAAATTATAGTAAACTACAGGTTTCATATACTTTTCAGCCAGGGCACGTAGACAGAACTAGTTTCTCTGTTACTGTACAGTTGTATTTCTCTGTATGCATGGATCGTAGTACAAGATGGGCCAGAAGCACCAGAGAAGAGATTAGAAGTAGAGTGGACAAAGTCCTTTCATCAGCACCTTTCAAATCATAAGAATTTATATAACTTGGTGAATTTTTTGAGCCTAGGTACGTGTATACACATTTGTAGTGGGCTCTCTCTGTAGCCCAGGGTTGTCTTGAACTTGTCAGCTGAGAATGATTTTGAGCTCCTGCTCTTCTGACTCTCCCAAGGGCTGGCATTACATGTGCACCAGCCAACCAGCTTTCTATTCATATTTAATTCCAAGTTCCTTTTTGCATGTTTATGACGACATCTACAGTGGTGAAATATGATACTGAAGATTTGCGCGTTAGGGAGAAAAGAATGGAATCTGGAGTGTAAGGAAGGGTAGAAGGCCTTTTACATTTGTTTTCTAAATATCTGAATTGTGTACATTTTTGTAAAAATGAGAATGCTTTTATATTGCACATATACTCTAGGAAATGTCTGCATTCTGGAATTGTAAGACATGGGTTTCATGTGGATCTTTAAAAATGATTATTAAAAGTCCATTTAGCTTTGGTATTCTGGTGAGTATTTAGTTTTATAGCTAAAATCATACTGGTGAAAGTTATATCTACATGTTTATGTTTGCATTTTAAGACTAGGTCTCCCCGTTATTTGTAACTTACTATGAAATCCGTGCTAGCCACAAACTCAGAGATCTGCCTGCCTCTTTCTTTATTTAAATACTTCTTTAAAAATATCTTTTAGTTGTGTCAATTTATTGAGTAGTTTGATCACTTTTAGTAGCTTATAGACCATTTATAGAATAGTTTGGTAGTTTGCTAAATTTAATTTATTTCTTGATTTATTAATTATTATTATTATTTGTGGCAGGGTTTCTCTGTGTAGTCCTGGCTGTCCTGGAACTTGCTGTATAGACCAGGCTGGCCTTGGTTTGAACTCACAGAGATCCGCTTGGCTCTGTCTCCTACGTGCTGGGATTAAAGGCATTGGCTACCGACACTAACATTTATTGAATTTTTTTGAGGCGGGTCTCATTATTCCCTAGCTTTCCCTCAAACATGTATTGATAGTCCTGCCTAAGCCTACGAAGAGTTGGGATTTATAGGTACGAGCCATTGTGCCTGGCATTAGTGCAATATTTACGTATCAGATTTGACATGGGGATGTCTTTTTCTTTTACCATGGTTAGCTTTTAATACTTTCCTTAATTAAATTTGTTTTGTAGTGGTTGGCTCAGCACGCGCACGGCCTAGTCAGCTTCCTGAACAGTCATCTTCTGCACAACAGAATGGTAGCGTTTCAGATATATCTCCAGTTCAAGCTGCAAAAAAGGAGTTTGGACCTCCTTGTATGTAAATACTGTATCAAGGACTCAGTCACTTTAGGCAAACATATAGTCTCTCTTGGTCAGCCTTACAAGTTCCTAAGTCGTAAGCAATTCAAAACAAACTTGCTAAAGATTTCATTTTGCCAACAGATAAAATTTATATTTAGTTCCTTAGCCTGTTAATTGGAGATACATAAAATTTAGTGTGAATTTATAATGACGGTTTAATTGTTTTGAATTAAAAATTCTGGCAAGGTTTTTTTTTTTTATTTTTAGAAGAAAGTTAAACTTCTTGATATTTTCAATTCAAAGGTCTGTGATTCTAAACCAAGAGATGACGTGTATCATTGTGTTGGAGTCATTTCCCTTGACTCATCTGTATAATGTCCTTGTCCTATTGTTAAAGCAGCTCATGAATGAAGTTCACCTAGATACAATTGGCATGCTTCATCACTGTGAACATTTCTTTGTGTGTGTGCTAAAATATTCATAAAATTTCTATACATTAAATGTAATTCTATAAAAAGAAAACTGCTTCTGCAGCTCATTATTTTTCTTTTAGCACGTAGAAAATCTAATTGTGTGAAAGAAGTAGAAAAATTGCAAGAAAAACGAGAAAAAAGGAGATTGCAACAGCAAGAACTTAGAGAAAAAAGAGCCCAGGTTTGTAATCTAAATTCATAATTGTTTATTGTTCTACAAAAAGGTTATGTTATGTCAGTGAAAATACTTGATTTTAAAAGTAGTTTAAGGAATTCCTTAAATTGGTATATAAAAATAATATAAAGTTCTTGAGAAAACAAATCATTGCTACAGTTTCTTTATTGCAATCACTTACTGTCGTTTAGTGTTACATGTTAGCCTTAAAATTTGTTGTTTTTGAAAGTAAAATTTAAAGTTATTGGTGTTTTGACATGGCTTGGTTCAACTGTTATGGTGAAATGGGAGAGATAATTTTGTATTTTGACTTACTGTAGATACAGAGATTGAGTCTCTGTTGTGTTGCTCTTTTATTCTCATCAGAATGTAGCAAATATTTAGTAACAGTGGAACATCTTTACATATTAGAAATTTTGTTACTAACCTGTATCACATTCATTGTTTGTGTTGTGTCTCTTTAATCTTAGAATTGTTTCCCTGCAGTAAAACACCTGTTTTTTAGTAGTGTCTTCAAGTACCTTCTTGTTAAGCCTATAGTTCATGTTTTATTGTATAATTATAAACCTGATAAAGTATTCAACCTCAGTAAATTAGTTTATACCTGAAAGTTACGCTAGAATATCTACTTGAAATAAGTAATACAAAACTAGGCTTCATGGTCCAACATCTGTATCCCAGCACTTGAATTGGTAAAGGCAGGAGGATCAGAAGTTTAAGACCTACTTGGAGCTACTTAGCGAGTTTGAAAGCAGCTTAGGTTACCTGAGACTCTGACACCAGGGAAAATGAAAAAGGAAGAGTACGCATAATAAATTTACTGACATGTGGCATAAACGCCATCTAGTGTTTCCTGGGTGTACTTCGTAATACTTAAATGTCCCAGTGAGCTCTCCATTCTTGCTTTACATTCTGCTTCCCACCTGCCAAGTTGTTGCCTTTTTATAAAGATGAGCTGTAGATAAAGTTTAGTGGCAGTTTTAAAATCTTCCCTCCGTGTAGTCTGAATAGGAATAAAAAGGCCTGACTTGAGTATTAGTGATTTATTATTCATTGCAGGAAGGCTATTGACCATTGCTTTTTGTAATTTAAACCAGAACCTTGCCAATGTTGACTTTAAAATGAATTGTAGTCAGAATTCAAAACTTAGATATATTTTTTAAAGTTTTTTTTTGTTTTGTTTTGTTTTCAAGTATTGTCTTGGTTTTGAGCTGCTTGGCCTACCTCTCAGCAAGCACCTGAGAAGTTAGGCAAAAGGACAAAAGTTCAAGGTCGGCCTGGACTACATGAATCCCTCACTCCAAAAAACCAAAAAGCAAACAAATTATCTTTGTGCAACAAACAAATTATCAAATAACATTAGCTATAAGATAACAAATTATCTTATATTCTGTGTTATATTGCTTTTTGGTTGTTTTGTTACATCTTGTCTATCTTAGAGTTAACAGAGAGGGGGAATAAATGTAAATGAATCCATAATTTAACTTAAGACTATATTTAAAATTAAAAACAAGGCCTTCATGTGTAACGAAGCAGCCTACAATTGCAGACCAAACTTTCTAAAAAATAATGTTGTGACACTAGAACTGGCGTGGGCAGAAAAGACATACCTGTTAGTGCTTTGGGAAGAACAGTAGCGATGGGCAGGGTAGGGAAAGAAGGAGGCTCATCATAGATGTGACTGCAGGAGCCTCTTGGCAGTTTGTGCAAAGATGATGGGGCAGTGAAGCACTAGATGAAGTAGCTCTAAGAGTTGATCTAAAATGCATTTCCCCAGTTTTAGTCTTTCTAGGCTTTTTTTTTTTTTTTAGTGCTCTGTCTTCTTGCTGCATTTTCTGACATATTTAAAGTAAACATATTATAGATTTTTTTTTAAACAGTTAAAAGGTAGTGTCAGTGAGGAAACTTTGGAGTACACGTAATTGTGTTATTTATGTGAAAGTGATTCTGAACATATTAACCTAAACTTGGAAATTATATCATAGTTTTAGTTTGAGTTTGGTTAACAAATGAGTGTCTGAATTGCAATTTTCAAACTATATGTAACATATACAGTGTAACTATAATAAGTGTTAAATCCTGTTTTCTAATAGGATGTGGATGCTACAAATCCAAATTATGAAATTATGTGTATGATCAGAGACTTCAGAGGAAGCTTGGATTACAGACCCCTAACAACAGCCGATCCTGTAAGATCCTTTGTGAATTATGACTCTGAAGATGTCATACTGTAAATAAAAACATTCATACTTACTAATTATATATTTTATTTACTTGTTTGGTTTTGTCTTTCCTTATAAGGTTTAGTTTCTGTATTTTGAGGAAAATCACAATTCATCTAGTTTTTTGTTCATCTTCCATAGTTCTAATATTAGAGGTGATACCCGCACAGCTGCTTTTTGCAGGCAAAGCCTCCTTGTCTTCAGACTGGCTGCATATCAGCCAGTGAGTAGCATAAGGAGACCTAGTTGATTTTTTTGACCTTCACATAGACTTTGATCTCAGTTCCAACTTTATTATAACTTTGGTTTGGAGTGTAGATCTCACCATCATTCTAATTTACTATTTTTAGCTAATTTGTTATTTTTAAATACACATTACTCTGGCGTTAGCAGTAATAATGGTTCTTAAGGGCTGTAATAGACAAGATTTTCATTGCTGAAAAATATTCTGTAGTTTCATTATCTGCTGTAGAATGAAAATACTTTTTCAAGGAAAAATAATCTGACAATATATATATAGAAAGTTTCGTTGCCCAAAATGTTTGTGTTAGGCAGTGTGTAAGAGGTCCTAATAGATTTCTTATCCATAAACTTGTATTCCCATATCCGTTAGGTCTTGCTACACTGGCAGATGTTTTTCTCAGCTCGTGTTTTAGATCAGGAAATTTGTCAAACTCTAAAGTAGGATTTACGGTAGGAAATTATTTATTTCTATAAAGCATATGATGAAGTTAAGTTTTATCTTTAAAATTTTACATAAGATTTGCCATTAATGGAGCTAGAATGACGGCTCAATGGTTACGAGCACATCTGCTATTGTGAAGGGGACACAATTTGGGTTCTCAAGGTTTCCAGCAGCACAGGTGTCAGGCCCATGGATCTACCTGTACCTCTAGCTCTGGGGGAATCCAGCACTTACATGCATATAACTGTGTACATGCATATAGTTAAAAATGGTCTTTTTTCCAAAAGAATTGCCATTCATAAAATGGTTGTAGTTGCTCAGTAATTATAAGAATCCTGGGGGGGGGATTGGTTTGTTTTTTTTTTGTTGTTGTTGTTGGCATGTTAGTGGTCTTTGCCACCAACTTTACCAGCAGTCAACATGAAAAGATGCCAATTAGTAGATTAGAAATATTCACTTGTATACAACACATCCTGAAATGAAAAGAAGATACCTTCTTAACAAGAACTTAATGCTTAGAATAGTAGTGCTTCTGAAAATTTAATTAAGTAGTGGTTTATCAAAACGTTTCTACGGTACTCAGAACTATTAAAAATTATGCAATGCTAATTTGTTCTGAAAGCTTAGCCACCATATTTATGTTAAAAATTTCTAAGAAACAGTTTTTTTTTTATTGTTTTTCATATTACTTATAAGTCAGGGAAGTAATATGTTTTTTATTCCTAGATTGATGAACATAGGATATGTGTTTGTGTAAGAAAACGACCACTCAATAAAAAAGGTATGATGCTTTGTAGAGAATTGAATTTAGAAATCAGGCATGGTAAAACATGTGAAAATTACTAGACACTGATTCTGTTTGTCCTTTTAGAAACTCAGATGAAAGATCTTGATGTAATCACAATCCCTAGTAAAGATGTTGTGATGGTGCATGAGCCCAAGCAGAAAGTAGACTTGACAAGGTACTTAGAGAATCAGACATTTCGTTTTGATTATGCCTTTGATGACTCAGCTCCTAATGAAATGGTTTACAGGTAAGTGGATTTGTTGTAAAGTAAAGTTATCTTCTTACATTTATACCTTGACAACTTAGTGCTGTTCTTAGTACAACTCTCCAGGGGTGCAGTGTGCTTTCTCATGCTGACATTAAGTGAAGAAAATGTAATATACGCCATGAGTTTTAACATGTAAATCTCCTTACTACTACAAGAAGTTAGGTTTTTTTTTGTTTTTTTGTTTTTTTGGGGGGGGTGTGGTAGCACTGAGGAAGCAGTGGCAGGAGGATTTTTGTGTGAGTTTGAGGCTGGCCTGTTCTACATTGCAAACTCCAGGACTATACAGAGAGACCTTGTTTCAGAAAAGCAAAAATTAGATTTATGTTAATTGATAGCTAATTAACACATATCATCGACACACATATGAATAAGCTATTTCTGAGAGGTTTTGAAGAGATGGTTCAGCATTGAGAATACTAGCTGTTCTTCCAGAAGCCCTGGTGTAATTTTCCAGCACCATGTGGTGACTCACAGCCACCTGTAACTCCAGTCTCAGGTTATCTGACATCCACTTGTGTCCTCCTTGGGCACTGCGTTCAGGGGGCACACAGATACCCTGTAAGCAAAATACATAAAGTTAAAGGAAAGGAAAACTTACGGGGAAAACTAAAAAGTGTTGGGATGTGGTGCATAGAAAACACGAATTTTTCCATTTTAATATTTGTACTAATAAATTTGAAATACTTGTTATGCATTAATTATTAGTTAGTGCAGATCTTTACCTAGCATGTGTTTTGAAATAAAAGTTAAAAGACCTCTGTAAATCTACTGAAATTTGCCTAATTTTTTATCATCTTAAAGTTTGATGGTCATTTTAGTACATAAAATTTTTAGTTTACATTCAATTTATAGATGTTAGACTTGCCCATATTAGATAGTCTAAATTTTTGTTATGTGGATTTTGCTGTATTTTTAAAACATACTTATTTCTAATAGTTATAACAGATTTTTACAGCATTGATACAGTATTCCATGTAGGATGTCTTTGCATTTATTTGGATGTTGTGGTTCATTTCCTAGTTTCATTTTATAAAAATTCCCAGAACACAGAAAATTAGTTAATAAGAATTGGAAATGTTGCCAGTGAAATATTGTTAGACCATCTTCGTTAATTTTAGGTCAGTCAACTGGGAGAAAAAGTAAAGAACATTGGAATACGCTTAAGTTAGTTACATATTAAAGTCTCTATTTAAAATGGGAATTGGAATTGTTACTGGTAATTGTTTTTTAGCTTTCTTCAAACAATTTTTCTTTCCCTCCCCATTTCATAAAGTATAAGTCTGGTTTTTATAATAGCATTCAAGTTCTGATTCAGGTATTTTTTATGGTAGATTTAATAAACACTTTGGGCTTCACCCTGGATTTATATTTAACTTCACCAATATACAACCCTTATACTTGACTTTACCTGTATGGACTGAGGAAATCACTTTTGTTTGTTTGTTTGTTTGTTTGTTTATCTGGTCTTCAGATTTATAGTTCCATTAGACTAGAACTTTTTCCTGCCCTTGTTATTGTGTGCTTTCTTCAGGTTTGCATTGAAAAAAAAACTAGCAAAGCTGTATGAAGTATTTTGTTGTTTTAGCATGTCATTTAGTGTTCTACTCAATAAAGAATTGTGTCTTATCTCTTCCTACTTTTTAAATTTTAATTATACCAGTGAATTTTATAAATACATTTTTAAAAGCTATAATTATTTTTTTGCCATTTTTTTAAGACTATCAGCTCAAAGCTCGGTGTTCTATAATTAATATATTCTTTTCGTAATTTATAAGTCAGTTTTCCATGTTCAGCATTTGAAGCAAATTGGGAAGGTGATAATGCTCGATGTGGTTATAAGCTTATGAGGTAACCAAAAAAAAAAAAAAAGTTTTGAGCTTTTGACCTTTCTTATTAGCCTATGCAGCAATGGATCATTTTCAAGCTGATTATGATATGTGACAAAAAGTGGATTGTGTGCAAAGACCCAATTGTGGACCAAGAACAAGCTCCATTCTTCTGTCCAAATCCAAACTTGGACCAGCTAGCTCATGGTCTGGTCTGCTGCTGCTGTCATGTACTATTGCCTTCTGCACCCTGGAGAAACAATTAGATCTGAGAAGCTGCTTAGCAAACTGATTAGAGACACCAAAAGCTGCAGTGCCCAGCTGGCAGAGGTCAATAGGAGGGGCACCAGTCCTCTATGACTCCTGTTGCACATTACACATGCACACCGAGTCACCGAAAAAGTTGGGCTACAAAGTTTTACCTAATGAACCATATTCACCTGGTTTCTTGCCAACCTTTTACCATCTTTTCAAGCATCTTGACAAATTATTAATGAACCATATTCACCTGGTTTCTTGCCAACCTTTTACCATCTTTTCAAGCATCTTGACAAATTATTGGAAGGAAAACACTTTCACCAACAGCAGAATGCAGGAAATACTTACCAGGAGTTTATATAATCCCAGTGCATGGGTTTTAACGCTGTAGGAATAGACAGAAAATGGCCCCAAAATGTTGGTCATACTGGCTCCTATTTTTCTTCATAAAATTGTTTGCATTTAATACTCATGGTTCAAAGCAACAGTTTGTTTGTTTGTTTTTTTTAACCGACCTAATACTTCAGTTTTTGAAACTAATGTTTTGTTTAAAATCCTGCTATTCTTTTAATTAAATACTAGGAATTACTTTGGTTGCTTGTCTAACTGAAGGATTTGTGACATACTTTTTCATTTTTCTTTTAAGATTCACGGCAAGACCACTAGTGGAAACAATATTTGAAAGAGGCATGGCTACATGCTTTGCTTATGGGCAGACTGGAAGTGGAAAAACTCACGTAAGTAACGAGGCCTCAATTCTTTTGGGTTGTGTGCACGTGAACATGATGCCACTGTTCTGATACCATCCGCTTTGCTTTTATGAGATAGATAATGTTTCCCATTGGCCTACAACTACCACATAAGCTAAGGTTGCCTGTCCAGGAAGCCCTGGGCGGGTCATCCCAACTCCGGGATCATAATCATGTATTACTTTGCTTGGATTATTTTACTTAAAATCCAAGTCCTCGTTTGTGTGGCGAGCACTTTAGGGATTGAGTTACCACACTAACCCCAAGACCTAAATTCTCAAATTGACTTCCGAATAATGTCTATTACTCTTTATTTTCTTTATAAATTTAGACTATGGGTGGTGACTTTTCAGGAAAGAACCAGGATTGCTCTAAGGGAATTTATGCATTAGCCGGTAAGTGTCCTGTACATAGTTTACGATATCCTTAAATATTATTCAGGTCTGTTTGAATAAGGCTTTTTATTATCCATTTTTATTGTCCAGCTCTACACAGTGTATTAGATCAAATATACGTTTTCAGACTTGAAAAGAAATGTGAGACCATGGTCAGACATGGACGCACATACCTGAAATCCTAGTACTTAGGAGTTGGAGGCAAGATGGTCTGGGTTCATCATCATTGTCAGCTATATAGCAAATTTGAGGCCGGTCTTGGCTATATGAGACCCTGTCTCAAAAAAGAAAAAAGTCCTAAACGAAATGTAAGATTAAGTTCTTGGTGACAAAATAGTCTATATATTTGGTTGATTGCAATGTGGCATACTGTTGATATTTCTATAAATTATGCAATGGCTAATTGTGGCTGGATCAACCCCACCACACACAGAGAACACTTTGGAGATAGGGGCTCATGTGTTCCAAGCTGACCTCAATCCTCCTATGTAGCTGAGGATAACCTTGAATTTCTGCTCCTGCCTCTAACATCTGAGTGCTGGGATTATAGCTGTGCACCACCATGCCTGGTTATTCAGTGCTGCAGACTGAACGCTGGTCTTTTTGCATACAACTGAGCTACATGTTGAGCCCCTTTTAAGGATAAAGAGTAGCATCCTGTCATGGAATGTGAAAAAGTAGCTTCTTTTACAACTTTATTTTTCAAATTAATGTTTTAATATTATTTTTATTGACACTATTAACCTAATGTTAACTGATTCTTCTAAAAATAGAAATGATACTTTAAATTTTTGTTGTTTCTTAACAAATTTTATATGTGAAATTTTTGTCAGCTCGGGATGTCTTTTTAATGCTGAAGAAGCCAAACTATAAGAAACTAGAACTTCAAGTATATGCAACATTTTTTGAAATTTATAGTGGAAAGGTATGTGAGAAGTTCTGTTTTTCTTTTGTGTGTGGGAGTAGGTACGTGAACGCGTGTATGTAGGTACATATGTGTGTGGGTGGGTATGTGTGTATGTACACGTATACGTGTAGAGGCCAGCAGTCAGCCTCGGGCTGTTTCTCAGGAGCTGTTCATCTTGTATATTTTAGTCAGGGACTTTGACTGTGGCCTGTGGCTGGGTGATTAGGGTAGGTTAGCTGGCCATTGATCCCCTCCCCTCAGGGGGGGCTCAGGCTCAGGTCCTTGTATTTGCTTGGCAAACACTTTACCAATTGAATTGTCTTCCAATCTTGGCCTTTTTAAAAAGGTTGTGGTTTCATATAATATTATATTATATATAATGTATTTCATATTATATATATATAATGTAGTTTAACATGTGTATATGTATATATATATGTTAGCCATTTTAAATATACAGTTGGTGAAATGCAGTTTATTTCTTTGTTTTATGACCTCTGCTATTGCAAGATTTATGTGCTTGTAAATATAATAGTTGATGTCTTCAAGCTTTCAATGTTGAGTATTGTTTTGAAAATAATAGTCTTATTATTTTTAGACTCTTGTAGACCTGATTTTTTAAAGCTAGTTTTCTAATTTGAATATCATTTTCTATAGGTGTTTGATTTATTAAATAGGAAAACAAAATTAAGAGTACTAGAAGATGGAAAACAGCAGGTGCAAGTGGTAGGATTGCAGGAACGGGAGGTCAAATGTGTGGAAGATGTACTGAAACTCATTGACATAGGCAACAGTTGCAGGTAAGTCTAAGGGAAGCTTATGTTTTAGATCCTGTGTGTATAGCAAAACCAAGATGTTAAATAAAAATAATATGGTTGACGTATAAACAGAAGTTTTAATGTGTCAATATGTCCTTAATCACATTGTAGAACATCTGGTCAAACATCTGCAAATGCACATTCATCTCGGAGTCACGCAGTCTTTCAGATTATTCTTAGAAGGAAGGGGAAACTACATGGCAAATTTTCTCTTATTGACCTGGCTGGGAATGAAAGAGGAGCTGATACATCTAGTGCGGACAGGCAAACCAGGCTTGAAGGTGCTGAAATTAACAAAAGCCTTTTAGCACTCAAGGTAAGCAAGATGTGTTTAATTATGAAAGGTCTCTTACTTCTTATCTTATGTTTGCTTACTCAGTTGTAAAAACTGTTTCGCCTTATAAAAGAGGTTTATAAACTTTCATTGTCATATTTGAAGTTACAGATTTTCTTGTATGTAGAATTTTTCCATGTACGTATTTTTCATTGTTTTTAAACAAGTTAAAGGAAACAAAGTGGCAGGCCAATTCTGAGGCTGCTTGGCTCGAGTCTAAAAGGGCCATAGTCAGCCTGGCTTTCTTGGGCAGGCAAAGACCTGGGGAACTGAGCTAAGAAAAATTTTTTTCCATCTATGACTCCAGACAGGATCCAAAGAGGAGGTGTACAGTCTCCTTTCTGGGTTTTTGGAGAGCTCCTTCACCTGGCTGTGTTAGCCTCTTCAGTCCCTACCATGACCTTGAAGGGGACAGAAGAAGGCAAAAAAAAAAAAAAAAAAAGTTTCTTAAAAAACAAAAACCAATACTATTCAGAAAGAGAAACAGAAGTTAAGTCAAGATAATTTAAAGAATTATTATATTTTTCCCGTTACTAGAAAAATCAGAAATTGGAAGGCTTAAACTAAAGCAGCTGTAGCTTTTGGGATTCTATTTTAGAATCTCAAATTCTTTACAGCTTTGATGTTGCCTGAACTTTTGAGCACTGGTCATATTTTCAGATTTTTGTTGTTTTAGAGTAATTAAGGAGTTCCTTTGTTGTTGCTAATTTTCTTGAATTAATATTTATGAAACCATAAATAAATTTATGAAAAACTTAAAATTTTCAGAGCTTATAGTCCTTACATGTTAAATAAGAAACCTTTAAAATGTTGCTTAAAATGACACTCTAAGAAAGCCTAATTGGTAAGAAACGTGTTCTTAATTTTTAGGAGTGCATCAGAGCCTTAGGTAGAAATAAACCCCATACTCCTTTCCGAGCAAGTAAACTCACTCAGGTGTTGAGAGATTCGTTCATAGGTGAAAATTCTCGTACTTGCATGGTAAGTTGGCTTTCTGTTGTTGTTTTTCCTTTTGTTCTTATCCCAGAGGAATAAATATAAAACATGTATGGAAGTTTTAGATTTTTGCTAATTATAATTAGTTACTTTTGTGTTTTGGAAGGTTATATTTAAGATGTGGTCCATGCCCGTTTGGTGGGAAGCATTCTGTTGCAGCTGTAATGCCTTGGAACTCTCCTGAGTACTTCCTTTAGCAGGTGTTGACTCTCTGGTGGGGATGATGACAAGTGTCTCTTCATGTACTTTAGTGTATTGCTTACAGTTTGTTGTCCATGGCAAGCTAGGTTGTCAACCAAAGATTTGTGAAATTATATGTACAATTTGAGTTTCTCCTTCGTCTTCCTCTTTTTTTTTTTTACAGGACAGTTCACCTTTTCCAGCTGCTAGGTTGTCACTCCCAAACTGCTATTCACCAGGCACTCTAGTTTCTAAAGTGACTTCGGTCATTCTCTGTGATTTAGTGGGGTGTTGTCTATGGAAGAGAATTGGTCCATTAGTAATAGTAAAAATAGGTGGAGGGCTGTCTGTGTTATTCCCTTTTCTAAACATTTGCCTTCAATTTCTGTTGGATTTTTAATAACCTTCTGGTACCTTCAGAGAATTTTTTACGTTTGTAACTAGGCTTTATAATGATCACATGTACTAGGTAGATAGACCTTAGAGGTCAGATACCAGTATAGAACATTTTAAAATAGATTGTAAGATTAGACCTTGCTGAGCTATCAATTTACTGTCTTGATCATTTATGATTTTAATCTCTGTTTCCCTCCTTTACAGATTGCCACAATCTCTCCAGGGATGGCATCCTGTGAAAATACTCTTAATACGTTAAGATATGCAAATAGGTATGAAATCTATACCTACGTTTTAAAATTTGAAATTTAATATACTAGAGCAGTATAAAGTATGATTCGATGTTTGCTAGGGAAACCAGGTGTGGTGGCACATGCCTGTTGTTGTAGCATTTGATTATACTGAGGCAGAAGGATCACTGTTCTGACCCCCAATATGAGATCCTGTGTCAAAGCAAACAGAAAACCCCACAGGACAAGTTTTATCACATTGTTCTTTAAATTTTCAAAATAAAGTTTTACATGTTCTTTAAGGTGATATTATTTAGAATTGTTTCGTTAAAATGATTAAGAAAAATGTATAATTAGATAAAACTGACATGTTTATTGAAGTGACCTTTTTGTTCTAGAACATGGTTATGTTTTTCCGTTTCAGCAAGTTATGATTCATAATAATTTACTACATTTCAGTGATGGAAATTTTGTAATATTAAGGATAAAGTGGAAATTAGGGAGTTAATTTCTTAAATTGTTCAACTCTGTGCTGGAATTATTTTCAGTAATATTCCACTAAATACACACACACATACATGCACACATCATTTAAGTTATAACAGTTCTTTCTGTTGCTGTATGTGGATGGTATGTTACTCACATCAGTAATGTTTCCAACTTCAGTTAACAACTGGGTTGTTACATATGGACGAAATACACTGAGAACTAAAAGAGTTTATGCCTTCTAGTCATGAATAGCTACAGATGCCCTTGGAACTCTGAGTTATGATGACATGTTTTGTAGAGCCAACACACACATACACACACATACACACACACACACTTCTTGTTTTGAGTGATTATTTATATAAGTGTGGAGATTGTCTTAGTTTTCTTCAAAACCATATTCTTTCTTACTGCAGTCAAAGTGGAGACTTCTTTTATCATCTTTTTAAAAAATATAAAATTCATATACATAGAAGAGTACCTAAACCGGCCAGTCAGAGGTAGTGCACACCTTTAATCTCAGCACCCAGGAGGCAGAGGCAGGTGGATCTCTTGAATTCAAGGCCAGCCTGGTCTGCATCGCTAGATCCATGACAGCCAGGACTATACACTACACTGTCTCTCAAACACGCTATCCCTTCCCCCACCCCCCAAAAAAAAAGCACCTAAAAACAAGCTACAGCTGAGTTGCACTTGTTCTGCAAAGTTGTCCTCTGACCTCTGCATGCACTGGTACATGTATATATAATTTATATGACAATAATTTTTTTTAGATTTAAGTTCCTAAAAACAAGTAAGCAATTTAATTCTTGTCATGTTTACTATCATTTAAAAATCTCTTCATTGAAGCCGGGTGGTGGTGCTATATGCCTTTAATCCCAGCACTCAGGAGACAGAGGCAGAGGGATCTCTCAGCCAGGGCTATAGATAGAAATCCAATCTTTAAAGGCCACCCACCCTATGAAAAACAATCTTTTTAGTTGAATGAAAGAAGAGTCTGTGAAGCAGTCTCTTAACCAGCTTTCATAAAAGTTCTAGTGTGTTCCTTCAGAACTTTGAGGGAGGCTGTTGGAGAGCATGAATGCCTGATTGCTGTAAAATAATTTTGTTTTCCTTTTAAAAAAATTGTTATAGCTATACATGTATCTTTGAGTAATATTAGCTATGTTTTAATTATTCTTTTAATATTTTATATTGTGCTTCTTTTGTTTCAGCCAAAGAGATTTAATCATATGATAGTAAGCTTTGCTAGGAAGCACTAGCTGATTGGCTCAGGGATGTGGCTCAGTGTCCATGTTTGCTAAGTATGAAATAGGCCTTGGGTTTCTCTTCTCATTCCATGGGGGAAAACATCTACAAAAATACAAAATATAATAGCTACTTAAAATACAAAATACAATAGCTACTTAAAAATATAATACAGCTTTAAGTAGGTTCAGTTTGAAATAACTTCTATAGTTTGAATTATGAGCTTCTAGCCACAGACATTAATATTGTCTTTCAATTAATTTTCTTAGTATATAAGAGTTTTAAAAAAATCATTTTTAGATGCTTTATTTTATCAGAGTTACTCATAGGGGTAGGGAGTAACTTTGTGGTGTATTCTTATTATAGAATCAGTTATATCTTGTAGAATTAAAACAAACCCATTCATGTCTTAAAACGAGGCAATAAAGATTCCAGAAACTACTATATAGATTGAGATCACAAGTTTTTTTTATATTTTGACTACATAGACCAATAGTTTGAGGTAAATGTAATATTATACTAATCCAAACTGGCTTTCCAGCTCACTATGTATCTGAGGGTGACCTTAAATTCCTGATCTTCTTCGACCTTCCAGTTTTTGAATAGAGATGTACACCCCCATGCCTGGTTAGATATGTAGGATTTTTACTATATTCTTTAGTACTAAAAATTGCCCTAGGGCCTTGGCCATTCTAGACAAGTGCTCTATCATTGCGCTGCAGCCCCAGCCTAGAGATTGTTCACTTCTTGAAGAAGTGTTGCTTTTTAAGACTCAGCACGATGATGGAAGAGTGTTAGTTTTTAAGATAAAGTAGGCCTAATACCTGCCTTTCTTCTTCATGACAGTGAAGCCTTAATGTGCTCCGCTTTCCTCACCTTCAGAATGACGAGGGCAGTGACCATTTCTGCCTTCAAGGATTGTTTTGAGAACTGAGAGAAGCAGTCTTTGTAAAATATTGAGCATAGCTAGCACTTGGAAATTATTTTTCAATTTATTTTAGTAAAAAGTATATATTTTAGAAGTGTTTATGGGAGTTGAGGGATAGTTTGTAACAATGCATATTGATGTTAAATGATTAAAAAGACAAGTCAAGTTCAATCAATTAATAAAACTGATATATACTATCAGGTATGTGGCACTTGCCTGTAATCCCAGCATGTCAGGTGGGTGGGGGAGGATCAGGAGTTTAAGGTCATCATTAGCTACACAGAAGTTTCCAGGTACACTCAAAAACGAAGGAGGGAGGGAGAGAGGGAAGGAAGGAGGGAGGAAAGGAAGGAAGGAATTGAAAGGATAAGAAAAGACTGGTTGTTCAAGAAGAAAAGCTGTACGAAATGCTTATGAAACAGTGTTTTGAAGCAGAGGCTGTGACCTCTGGGTAAAGGAAAAGGTTAGAGGGATTGAAACATAGAGTAGTTGTTGAAAGCTTGCTTTTGTTTTTTTGTTTTTTTTTTTAAGTTATTATTTATAATGTTATTTTAGGAAAATTATTACTGTACTTAGTAGTTTGGTTTGTACAAGAGATACATATGGTAAGAGAAAAATTTGTGGCTGATACTAATGGTGATTCTCAATGAGGAGACTCTAACACATATAAGAAATAAGCCTAGGAGTGACAAAGTTAATTTCCATATTCACAGTTCACATTTATCAATTTGTGTAGTTAATGAGCTTTCCGAAGTGATTATCTTGAGAAGTTTCTAGGAAAATTTCTGAAAAAAATGAAGAAGTAAACTAGAAAGGAAAGATTTTGTTGTTGTTGTTTTCCTGGAAGCCTATTAAATAATACCTTAATAATACTCTAAAATTCTCTTCTAACAATATGGATATTCTTTTCTGAATAAACGTTTAACTGTGCATTGCTGTCTTTGCCAAGAACTCTTTTAATTGTCACTGTTTTGGTACTGCAGAGTAAAGGAGTTTGGAATTAGTCCTTCAGACATTCCCTTCTCCCAGGGTAGTGGCAGTCGCCCTGATCTCTCTCCTTCTTACGATTATGACGACTTTTCTCCTTCGATTACCAGGTCTTGCTTCATTCTGTACATAAGATTCTTTGATTAGCTTGTTTTAAATTGTGCTGTGTATAAACATTTCATTTATTTCTTTTGTTCTCAGCCAGCCATTTTTCATTTTCACTTCATTTAGCAGGTGGTGGTTGTACTGCATGATCTGCATTTTTATGTCCTTTATTAATTTGTTTTAAAGGTTTGTTTCGAATTTAAAGCTCCATTTTTATCTTTGTTTTTTAAAAGATGATGTCACTTTTGGATATTAATCTTATTTGATAAAAAGTTTCTTTGCAAGGAAATAATGATTTTTATGATTCAGAAAGTATGTTTTTTTTTAAGTGTGTTAACTTATGTAAAAATTTCAGCTTTAAAAAATGACAGATTATTATAATCTTTGGGCATTAGAAGTAAAAAAAAAGACTGGCCTGCTCATGGCGGTACAAGCCATTAATCCAGCACTTGAGAGGTAGAGGCAAGCAGATCTATTAAGTTTGAGGCCACCCTGATCTGTAAATTGAATTTCAGGCCATCCAGGGATATATAAGCGAGACCCTGTCATAACTTACCAAAGTGAAAGTATTTCTTACTTGGCTATTTTAGCTAAGCAGTATGACTTCTGAAGTCTTCATAGGATATAAACTTCCCTGATTTCAGCAGTGGTTTCTTTATGGATCTTAACAGTTTTTCTATCATAAAATATAACTATAATTATAGTTTTTCTTTGAAGTATTTAATCTGTATATTTTGCTAAGTTTCCCTGATTATGAACAATAATTACACTTAAAGTTGCTTAAGTAAACTAGCATTAAACAAATGCAGATTTCAGATAAATTGACCTATAAAGTGGCATCATCGATCTTACTATGCTAATTGAATTGCTTTTGTATTGAATAGGTTGGTATTTTCTTGTTTCTCTGCACGAGTTTTTCATAATTTCAGATAACTTTTGTGTGTTTATAGGGTGAAAGAGTTGACTGTAGATCCAGCTGCTGCTGGTGATATCCGTCCAATAATGCACCACCCACCAAGCCAGATTGATGACCTAGAGACACAGTGGGGTGTGGGGAGTTCCCCTCAGAGAGATGATCTAAAACTTCTTTGTGAACAAAATGTGAGTGACATCATCTCATTGTTACTGATCTAACCTTAGTTTGTTTCATCAATAGCAGAACTTAATTGAACACTGTCCCTTAAAGCAGGGATCGGCAAGTCTACCCTGTGGCCTAACACCCTGTGTTCAGATAAGTACAGCTTTACTGGAATATACCCATGCTTTTCTGTCTTGTTTCTTACTACAGTGGCAGTGATAGAATGCATGGCTCATAAATTCAAAATAATTTCCTGGCTTACTAACCATAGCCTATTTATTTGATTTTATGCCCACATTAAATTTTTAGCAATTAGTTAAAGATAATATGTAAGTATATCATAAATAAATTTTTTAAAAACCTGTCAATGTAATTATATGCATTAAGCAGAAAAAAAATCACAGTGATTCCCTAACAGCACCTCAAAACAAAAAAAGAAACAAAACCCCAACAAAATTCCAACATCCATTAAATCTATATTTGAAGTGTCTAAAAGTTTTATAATTTCAAATTACAATTATTTATTTTTAAGACATTTATTCTATAAGAATAGGCAAATACAAAACATTGTGAAAGCATGTGATCTGGACATGTAACACAAACCCATACTCATAGACCCAGGACTTAGGAGGCTGAGGCAGGAAGCTTGCTGCACATCTGAGGCCATAGTAAATTCCAAGGTGTCACGGCCTGCAGTGTAATGCTATGCCAAGAAAAAGCAAAGTGGAGAGGCTGGGGAAATGGTTCAGTGGCTAAAGAGCTTGCTGTCAGGAGTGGGAAGAACATAGATGACAGTGAACTAAAAATGAGATCATCGCTTCAGTCCGTCCAGAATTTTGAAAGACACCACGGTTGTTTTTAAACTCTCGAAGGAAAATGATACTAGCCAAAGATACAGAAAACCAGAGTAAGATGGGCATTTCCTTTGTATTTTATTCTTTCTTACTGGACCTTTTCTTAAGATTTGTTTTTATGTGTATGAGTGTTCACCTACATGTATATCTGTGCACCATGTGCATGCATTTCTGAAAGAGGCCAGAACAGGACAGCAGATCCTAGAACTACAGTTAAAGATGGTTGTGAACCATCTGGATGCTTGGAACCAAACTCAGGTCCTTAGTTTTTATATATCCTGTTTTTCATTGTGTACAGTTCTTTTAACTTTGCTACAGTTAGGTAACTTACCTTGAGATTTTTCAATAGTATCATTACATTAAGTGTTAGTGCATGTGTACATATTCTTGCAATATTCTCAACAGGGGAGACTGTAAGGAAATAGAGTCTAAAATATGTCTTCAAGATAAAACTAATATTAATTAGATGGTTAATGACGTGTGTTAGAATTCCAAAAGTACATTTCTACAGACAAACATGTCTGGGAGTATGTAAGAACTTGCATATTTTCTGGTCCAAAGGAAAGAGGATTTTCTGGGCCTAAAGAGGAGGTAACAGGGGAAGAGTATGCTGAATAGATATTGATGAGAGTATGAGAACGTTTAGCATGTCTTGATAAAAGCAGATGTATTTATTTCCACAGAAAAGATAGAAAGTTCTTTAGTAACTTGATTATGTAAATGTTTGTGACATCTTACTGATGAAAAATCAAATATCACTTAATTTTTTTTCATGCCTTTAGACTCCTGAATGCTTTTTTAATGCCATTTTTATTTACTTGTTACAATAGTTTATAAGTAGACTTCTCTTTGTCACTAAAGCCACATTTTTAGAAAACAGTGAGGTAATAGGACAGGTGTTGGCAAGAGACTCAAAATAAAGCTAAGTCAAATAAGTTTTGAGTTAGTGTAACAATCAAACCATGCCTGTATTATAATATGTTTGTTGTTGAAGTACAGTTATGATTTGCACTTGAGATTTCTATAAAAATATCTAGCCTACCTAGCCATGGTGGCATATACCTGTAATTCCAGCACTAGAGAAGTTGAAGCAGGAGGATTGCTGAGTTTGATGCTAGCCTGGACTATTTATATAGTACTGGGTCAGCCACAAATGCAGACAAATAAAAAGCCACATCCATATACACCTGTAGTTGCAGCTATATGGGAGACTAAGGCAGGACAATGGTTAAGTCCAGCAATTGAAGGCCATCCTGAGCAGTATAGAGAGATCTCCCATTTCTTTTCAAATCAAATTGATATTTTTTTTTTACTGTAAAAATTAGTAAATGATTTCTATAGCGTAAATAAAAAATAAAGTTTGGTTTTTAAAAGAAGTTTAGTCCTTGAAAATACTAATTTTGATAGTCACCATGAAATATACAAATCAAAGATTATGTCTTTACAGCTTTCAAGAGAAGAAACTTAAGCTGGGCATGGTGGCACACACCTGTATTCTCAGCACTTGGGAGGCAGGCCGCCTGGGTTACATAGTATGAGGGCAGCGAGGATATAGAGCAAGACTCTGCTTCCAAAAAGAAAAATCAAAGTATGGTCTCTATATGCATGTTGCTTTCATGTCATCATAAAGTCATGTATATGTGAAATAAATTGTTAATAAAGAGAAACCAACACAAACTAGTAAAGTCTGAAATAAACTTACAGTAACTGAAAAGCTGGGCTGTTCCAAAAGACACTGATTTTTAGGATATGTCTGCAAATAATAAATTCCTAAGTGAAAATTACTCCTTACTTAAGAGTTGGTTTCCTTCCTTAGACTTACATTATTTTGACCCAGAGAAAGAAATGTGGCTTTTCTTCTATTTATTTTAATAGTCAGTTTGTATCCAAAGTCTTAATTTGCCTTTCTAAAAAGACTTTGCAAAACTGCTTTTTGAGGCTGGGCTAACTCAGAGGTAGAACATGTGCCATTTTTAAAAGCACATGAGTTCCTGGGTATGCGCTCAAGGAGGGAAGAAAAGTAAAAACAAAACTTAGTGATATTTAAATTGTAAGATTAAGGTCATATTTTTAAACTTTGTGTTTTAAGGAAGAAGAAGTTTCTCCACAATTGTTTACTTTCCATGAAGCTGTCTCCCAGATGGTAGAAATGGAAGAACAGGTTGTAGAAGATCATAGGGCAGTGTTCCAGGTATGTAAGAAAAGGTCTTCTGGCAAGCTGACCTTAACCAAAACCTTCAGTTCTTGCAGTGGTGTATGTGTGTATTTGTAGGGCATGTGGTAACAAATACTTCCCCACAGTATTTTCTTTTTTAATGTAATAAACAAGCTGGGCAGTGTTGGCTCACACTTTTAATCCCAGCACTCGGGAGGTAGAGAGACATAGGTGAATCTCTCTGAGTTCAAGGACAGCCAGGATTACACAGAGAAACCCTGTCTTGAAAAAAACTTAATAGTAGTAATAACAAAAAAAACAATAAAAAATAATAATAATAAACAAATTTAATGAATAGGTCTGAGGATGTAGCTAAGTGGGAGGATGCTTACCTACCATTCACAAAGCATGCCCGGGGTTCATTCCCTCGCTAAAGAAAAAAAAAAAAATGTTAAGTTTATATATCATTTCACTGTGAATAAAGATGTCATGTCTACTGATATTTTTGAGAATGTTTTAAGTATATTTGACTCAGAGCTCACAATATTTACATCAGTCTGATCTGATAATATTTGTAAAATATAACAATTTACAAGTCATTTTTTGTTGCATTGGTACTAGGAATCAATTCGCTGGATAGAAGATGAGAAGGCTCTCCTTGAGATGACTGAAGAAGTAGACTATGATGTGGACTCGTACGCAACACAACTTGAAGCTATTCTTGAGCAAAAAATAGACATTTTAACTGAGTTACGAGGTAATTTAGGTTTCATCTTAGTGTTATGAAATTTGAATATTAAGATGTGTAATAATTAGGTTTGTATGACGACATACAAAGTGAAGATTATTATAGACAGTTTTAGCACCTTTGTTCAAAACATAGAAAGACAAATCAATCATTGTTTTTCTTAAAACAACAAAAATTAAAAAAACAGGGTTGGGGAGGGCTCAGTGTTAAGAACAAGTAAGTACTTGTCCTTTTGTGAGAATTTAAGTGTGCATCCCCACAACCCATGCAGCTGTTAGGTACAGTCACACATCTGTTGTCCCAGTGTTCCTGTGTTAAGGTGGGAGGTAGAGACATAAAAACTGAAAGCTCCAGCTCCTCTAGGGTAGCCTATGCATTGGCAGAGACCTTTTAACATTATGGCTGCAAAGGAGAATTCCTGGAAAGAAACTGTGTGCAGAAGCCTACTAATTATAATTTCAGTGACAATGGAGAAGTTGGAAAGTTGCAGGTCCTGAGCCTAATGACAGTTTTCTAACCCTCAGTAAAGAGCCATTCCTAGTACACTCCTGTGTTGGATCTAACTTTCTGTTACTAGCAAATAAAGGCAGACCTAACATCATGATAAGCAATAAAAACTTTTGGAATGTAATAAAACCAATCAGCCAGGTGTGGTGGGTACGGTGGTGCACGTCTGCAGTCCCAGCAAAGGCAGGTGAATCTCTGTGACAACCAAAACCACACAGAGAAACCCTGTCTTGGAAAACGAAAATCAAAAAAGCCAATCAAAGATTAATATTCCCAGATAGCATTTGAGGCCGACAGCTGAGATTTCTTTATGGATAAAACCTGCCTCTCTGATGTTTCTTCCATTTTAAAATGGTTTTTAAAATTTCTGTTTTAAAAATGTCTTTCTTTAAGACTTTCTTTGTCCTGTTACCATAAAACCTTCATAAAATTATTTGTACTTGAAACATGGAATTTGGGGTAACCTAAATCTGTGTTCCTAGGCCACTGCCACTCATCTTTAGCTCCAGAATACATCTGTTTTCCTTGCAAAGGGCAAGGAAAGTGTTCTCTGAACACAACAGCACTGCTGTACCCACACGAGCATGCACTATACAACATGGAAACACACAAAGATTAATAAAAATTACCATTTTCTATTGCCTGTATTCTTATTTCATGCACTTTTTGCCTTTCTGTGTAGCTTTAAATATACCTTGTATGTATTGAATTTGCTACTGCTTCCCTGTTTGTGTGTGTGTATAATTTAACATGAAATCATATTGAAATTCCTCTTATCCACAGATTTGCTTCTTAAATTTTTAAAGTTGGTGCTTTGACTTCATGTTGAATATGGTCAATAGTGACTGTTTAAAACCTTACCTTTGTTTTTAATCTTCATATTCAAGCCCCAATTTAAATTAGTTTGGTAATTTCACAATTTGCCATGGCTCTGTATGTATGGACAACATGCAGATGCCAGACCTCTTCCTCATGGAGAGACAGTTTCTCACTGAAGGTAGCTTCACCAGTTACACTAGACTGGCTGCTTAGCAAGCACGAGAATCAGGCCTCTGTGTCCCCTACTCAGCGTGGGATTGTGGATGTGTGCTGTTGCATTCGGTTTTATTATGTGGGTTCTGGAGCCTGAACTCTTGTCTTTGTGCTTGTAAGCACTTTACATCTCTGCAGCCCCATAATCACCATTCATATATTCATTTTAAGAGATGGAACCTAACGTATTCTATTTTTTTCTTGGAAATATGTAACAGTCAATTTAACTGACTTTCCTTGGTTGTCTCAGATTCCATGTCAGACATATTGGGGGGAGTTACTATAGAAATACTGTAGTATAGATTTTTTTTTTTTTAACCATTCAGAGATACATCTGCAGTAATAAAAGAAGGTAAGCTTGTTATATTAACAGGCACCAGATCTAGCATTCTTTTAAATGAGTTGAAGGATTCCCACAAATCCTCAGTACTGTAGCTAGCATACAGTGATTCAGTTGTGAGAAGCATTTAAAAGTTTGCATTATTAAGTTTGTAGAAAATCTCATCTTTCATCTGAATATTTTGATTACAAAATGCTTTAGTTAAGTGGCATAAGTCTTTAATTTCAGAAAAACTAATTTTGTAAAATGTTGTACTTCTAAAAAGGAAAACTTGAACTTACCATTTTTTTATATACAGGTCACACCACATGGTATCTGTTGTGATGCTTTTGTGATCATTGAGCCCAGGGCCCTGTGCATACCACTGAGCTACAATTACATAATTTGTCACTATTGAGAGCTTGAGCAGGCCATTGTTTGTTGAGGGGTGCTGCCCTATGCAAAGTAAATGTTTGCGCATTCTTATTAGCACAGCACCATACCAATTGTGATAAATAATTAAAACACCTCTAGACATCACTAAATGTTCAGGCAAAAATCACTTCCATTTGAGCACCACTGCTGTAGAATGATGTTTTATTTTTATAGCCCCTGACACTAATTAACCTACTGATAATGCTGTCAGTACAAGATAGTAGAAATAAGAGCAAGTAAGTGTTGTCCTGTTATCCTTTCATAGTCCCCGATGAGCTAATACTATTTTTAATTCAGGTTTTAAGTTTTCTTGGCTAAGAAAGTTAGAGTTAGATTGAATAGAAATGTCACATTGAAAGGATTATCTATCTGTTTTACATCTAAGTTAGACTCATCAGTTCCCTTTTGGAGAGTGGTTGAACATAGTTCTAAGGTTCATGAGAAATGCTGAGTTTTTGTTACAATAAGCACTAAATTGATAGACATTATAAAAGTTATGCACTGTGTTGCTTGTTCTACAATACTTACTCCCTTGTTCTTTTCTTTTTACAAGATAAAGTGAAATCTTTTCGTGCAGCGCTACAAGAAGAAGAACAAGCCAGCAAGCAAATTAACCCCAAGAGACCCCGAGCCCTCTAAGTCGGTATTTGCTACTAAAGGATCCCCAGAATCCCTAATACTGTAACAAATGGTGGTCCAACTGTAAAGGCCACTTGAACGTTTTTGAGATCTTAAGTGTGTGGAAAATATCTTGTCCTTCACCTGAATGACATTTCAATTTTGTGAAACACTCCTTTGTCTACAAGTGCTTTTAGTCCAAGAGGCACAACTAACAATTGGGATTAGTGAAGTATTTTGTTTCATTTACCCAAACAGTGATTGCTTTTGGATATCCTTACCAATTTTATTTAAGGATTGTGGAAGTAATCCAGAAGTCGAGAATAGGGGAAGCCACAGAATTTCCTTTAACCCAAATCAATTTCGTAGCAAGACTGAGCGATTTTGAGTACTTTGCGTGCATGCATACCTCATCAGTGACTGTACATACCTTGCCTACTCCTAGAGACCGCTGTGCTTACTCGTCCTTCTGTGCCTTGACTAAGGCTATCGACCCTAGATTTCTGAAGCACAGCCAAGATAAATTACATTCCTTATTTGTAACTGTAAATTACCTTTATTGTGTGTACATTTTTACTGTACTTGAGACATTTCTCTGTGTGTGTGTGTGTGACTAGTTAATTTTGCAGGATGTGCCATATCAATTGAACGGAACTAAAGTCTGTGACAGTGGACATAGCTGCTGGACCATTCCATCTTATATGTAAAGAAATCTGGAATTATGATTTTAATACCATGACATGTGATTATAATTTTCTTAGCATTTTCTTTGTAAAAAAACTAAAATATAAACTAGTTGGTGTATAATAAAAGTAAAGAAATTCTGAGAGGAGTTTTATCTTAGGATAATACATATATATGCAGTGTGTGTGCCAGTGGTGTTAACAAGACTAATAGTGTAATTTGATCCTTAACAATGCCATTATTTAAGTTGAAGTGTTTATTAGCTCACCCAAACGTAACGTGCTGTTAAAGGAAATTGGCTTCTGATGCATGAACATTTGTATGTACATGGAAAGTAGTCCATAATCCAAGTTAGATAAGCCAAGTATAGACAGTATGTAACCCCTAAGAAGTGTTGATGCCCTATAAGGCACGTCATACCAAGCTCCATCCAATACCTAATATGTGATGGTTTATTTGGAGAGAATCACATCTCTCCTATAGATTGGTGGTAAAGTAGGCTACTCTTTAAATGGCAGCACTCATTTTTACAGCTGCTAATCTAAGAAAGAAAACTGGCCAATTCTCATGTAAATAATTGTTTAAAGATTTATATATATATGTATCTATATATCTCATTTTTCCTTGGTTCCCAGTCTACAGTCCAGTAGGTTAACCAAAGAACCTCCCATGGATCTCTTGATTAACTCTAGGGAACCTACTGATTCACTCAGTGAACCAAGGGGAAATCTATGAATAGAGTCAACGAGCCAGATTCTTTACTTCACTAGTCATGAGAGGGTAGCCCTGAGGAATCCTAACACCATGGTGAAAACTCTGTAAACATGAAGTCCAAATCAAATGTAGATTTTTTTTTTTCACAATATGCTTATTAATAAATGGAATTTATGAAACGAATATAGAAATGTACTTCAATATAATCACCTTTGTTTTGGAAGGAACTCAGGTTTTCTTGCAGTTGTAAGATATATTCTATTTGTTTCAAAGAGGAAGAACTATTTCTGTTCATCTTGCAGAAGCTGTTTAAGAAGGTAATTTCTGCTGGACATGTTGGCACATGCCTTTAATCTCAGCACTTAGAGGCAGAGGCAGGCGGATTTCTGAGTTCAAGGCCAGCCTGGTCTACGTAGTAAGTTCGGGGACAGCCAGAGCTATGTACAAAATCCTTGACTCCACAATTTTTGAAGTTGGCCCATATGTAACGGGCAATAAAGACACGAACTTGCTCATCTTAAGCACAACAGTTTTAGCTTTAATGTTATTGGCCTTAGACTGGTACTGTCTTTGTAGGTCTTTATAGATACATGTTGCCTTATAAAGGCTTTGTCTTGATCTATAGTCAGAGTACCTGAAAATTAGTAGCAGTAAACATCTTCAGAGGTAAACTACAATTCAGCTTTACAGAGGGAAAACCGAAGACTAGTTAAAGGGACTAAAGCTCAGCAGTTGGGGAAAATAAAGGAGAATAAGCTGAGGAATCCCAGTTAAGCAGAATTGTTTCCTTAAGTAGTATGGTACAAAACTGTTCTGTCACAGTAAAGATAACTAACCCTTAAGAATAGTTATCGTTCATGTGACAAAAGTTGCTTCTGCAGCTAAGTATTTTTTTTTGTTGTTCTAGATTTTGTTTAGAAATTTCTCAATCTGAAAGGCTGCTAACTATTTAAAGTCATAACGCTATTCACTACATGACTTTGAAGCAGATTTTGGGGAGCAATCTGTGTAGGCAAACAATTTATAGTTTTAAGTTTACATAGTGCACCTTTTCTAAATTAACTGGAGATATTCCTTTAAGCTTCGGGTGTAAAGAGAATTAAGTATTTAATAAAGATAGTTTACTTTCCTTATATAAATAAGACAGCTAATTTATTAAAATACATAACCAGCATTTACACTAAATCTGACAATTTTTACATAGCTTAAAAAGAAACACCACGTACTAGAATCTTCATTATCCAGAAGTCAGGAATAGCCTATAGTTGTAGGAAAATGGCTGTTCGTTTAAGAAGCTGAAAACTGAAAATTTGAAGCTACACATAGTGGTACTCAAGTGCAATCCCAGCATTTAGGAGGCTGAGGTAAGATTCTGAGATTAAGGCTAGCCTCAAAAGGATCTTCTCATTCAAGGAAAAAGAAAATCATTTTTCTTTTGAATGATTTGAATTACAAAACCATCTGGAATTTTTTCTAAATCTGCAATTCGTAAATGATGTCCCCCTGGAGAAAATGTGATTTGATAAAGATTTCACATTTAGTCCTTTTCTAAGCTTTGTGTTTCACGTGCAGAGTCACATGTAGAACATGCCTGCACTGTGTAACTGTGCCAGACTCTGGCTTCTCCAGAACTGTCGTGTTGTTACTGCAGCAGGACAGCTGACAAGGAAGGCAGTAATACATAGGAAGTATAGAGGATGAAAAGGGTGTGTGAGGAAAAGCCACATAAGTAACTTGCAGCACATGTGAATGAGGAGGAGGTGGAGTATAGGGGATTTGTAGGCTGGTTGACTTAAGCTGCAGGCCTAAGTGAGCCTCATATTCTAGAACACCGTAACGAAAAAAAATAACATCTTCATACAATAAATTGTTAGAAAGTTTTAAGTGTATGGTTGTGCGTATCTGCGGCTTCCAAACTTGAAGACCATTACATTGAACCCTGCCCTTTGTATTATATTTAAAACACTAGAACCAAAAAAGAAGAAGAAGAAGAAGAAAAAAAAAAAAAATATATATATATATATATATATATATCCGCTTATACAGGATAATAAATGGTACAAATGTATTATTAAATAATAATTCTGAAAAGTGTACTGTAGAACAAAAACATATTCTCAAATATTAGAAACATAATTTCATTTTTTTTTCCTTGGTCTTGAAAAAGTTGTTTCCAAGTGGCTAGGAGAAATGAATACCTTCTGCATTGAACCCATGTAGCAACCTGAAGGGGAGGAAGCCAAAAAGGAATGGTGTTAAACCAAAAGGCCCAACTTTTGATACATAATGTACCTGAACCACTGACTAATTCTAATACATAAACACATCAACACACACACTTCCAGTGCTAGCTGCTAAGGAAACTTTGTTCTCCAAATAAATTGGCAAAGTTATACCTTGGCATGTTGATGTCTTTTGTTGTAACCTACTGTTCTAAAATACATTGGCTCTGACTGAACTTACCTTTTTAAAGACTTGATATCCCTGACCTCAGTTCATGAGCACTTGTTTTATTTCAGCATGATTAGCTGAAAGGGAAACTAGCTGGAATTTGAGGCAAAGTGAGATAAATAATCTCTGCCTATTCTCTAGACTGTTCTTGAAGGTTAATGAAATGTACATTACTTATCTTTGTGGATATTCTGTGGTTATCTGACTTTTGTTAGAAAGCTGCAGTCTAAGGAAGTTAAGAATGAAGATTTAAAAATACTGTATTTTTGACCTGAGGGTATTTTTCAGAATGTGCTATAGAAAGAGGTCCATAAGGACTAAAGTGTCTGAAAAAGCAAATAGGACTTAGGAGTAGCACTCAACTATTAGGACATCCATTGAAGACTTATTACTCCTGCTGGCCAGTCAATAAAACAGTAGCTCCATGATAGTTCTAGACAATTCTACCAAGAAAGGAAACTAATGTCTTACAGGACTCTATCCTTTTTAAGTTCAATGCCTAGATCACTAATGCTTTAAAGGTGACTGGCTAAAAGTGGAGACACATCTAGAAGTAGAGTACTAGTCTAGCTCTGCAAAGAAACAGTAAACAAAATGTCCAGGAATTTCTGAAAATTAGTGAGTAAAAACTGTACAAGTTAGTACAATTGGGTTATTGACTGAAACTTGCTTAATATGAAGTAAAACAAATTTTGGTCTGAATTGCCCGAATAACTGGTACCCTTTAACTTAGTAAGTGTAGAATTTGCCTCAGGCCACATAACTGCTATTAAATGGATACTCAGATGTGGTTATAACTGACATTGCATGCTTATCATCTGTTTGAAAGTATCTATTTAAGTAAGGAAATAATAGGTCATCAAATTCAGTTACATGTATTAGGATGATTTTGCTAACTTAAGGGCTGCTGTGAAGAGGTAAGCACAAGCTATGAAGATCATGAATGAGTTTGGGATTGGAACAGGAGGAAAGAAACACAGCATACATAAACCCAGGCTATGTTCTGGCGCAGACTGTTCCTTACTACTATTTGTAAGACATTCACTCTGCTGCAGCTAACTAGCTGCCATCCTTTACACCAGTGATTCTCAACCTGTGGGTCTCAACCCATCTGGGGTCAAATAACCCTTTCACAGGGGTTGCCTGAGACCATTGGAAAATACAGGTATTTACATTAAGATTCATAACATTAGAAAAATTATAGTTATGAAGTAGCAATGAAAATAATTTCATGGTTGGCAGTCACGACCACATGAGCAACTGTACTAAAGGGGTCACAGCATTAGAAGGTTGAGAACCACTGCTTTACACCAAATACTGTTTCCACGCCAGGAAAGTGCTATGCAATCACTCACCCAGGTAAGCACCCTATGCCGCTTAAAATAAGCCTTTGACTCTCTAATCTGAAGCTACTACCGTAAAGAAAAGAAATGTAAGCATTTACAACAACAAATGTAATTACCTGATAAAGTCATCTATGTCCATGGAACGGGCCCGTTTGTCACTAAAACCTGTGCTGGTTAGGATTTGCTGTATTTTATCTGCTATACTGAAATCTTCTGGTATTACCTATCAATATAAGATTCAGAATAAATGAGCAACTTATCTTTAATGAAGATAGCATGATTCTTTTTTTAAAGTTCAGTGATTATATTCAACTTTAAAAGATCTGTAAATGACAGTTGGGGAAAAATCTGACAGTTTGGGTAAGACTTGGCTTTCTAATTAAGAGATTTTTTGACACAATACTTAGAATACTTGAATTATCATGCACATATTGCACCTTTCCATCTTTAAAATATAAAAATCTAGGTTCCAGACTTCACAAGCAAAATGAATGAAAATTTAAGGAATTACTGATCTTTTAAAAATAATTAATAAATTCATTCATTCTTGACACAGCACATCCAACCAGGTAATTTATCTCAAGAGTGATTTCTCTCTTAAGTATATTACATGGTGCTGGGTGTGATAACTCAGCTCTGTGATCCTAGATTTGAGAGGCAGGACAAGTAACGCAAATTCAGGGCAAGGCTATGCTACAAAACAATGATTGATTTTTACTTGATGCATACCATTTACACAAAGACCTTTTAAAACCCAACGTAAGTTTTTAAAATGAGTTTGTAGCTTTTGTCCATATTAGAGAATGGAAATGGTATGACATATAAACGCATAAGAGAAACCAGGGTATAAAAAATACGAAGAGGCCAGACAGTGGTAGGGCACACTTTCATCCCAGCATTAAGGAGGAAAAGACAGGAGGATCTCTGAATCCGAAGCCCCTGGTATACAGAGCTAGTTCCAGGACAGCCAGGGCTAAAGAAAGAAACCCTGTCTCCAAAAACAAGAGCAAAAGAAAACAGTCTTACTATGTCACCTGTCAAATTTAGAATCCTTCAATCCCTGAAAAAACAAACAGCATACACACATGTATGCATGAGGACTCTCACACTTGAATTCAAATCAAACGAGCCATGAGGCACAAAACCATTAACAAAAACCACTGAAATGATTTCTACTTACAGTATTATGTACTGAACAGTGGATTCTGTAGTTTCTTTCCAACAGCTGTTGTACTGCACTTGATCTGGAAATTATGTGACAATTATAAAATCGGAGATTATACATAATTTAAATTCAGACAAGATGTAATATATGTTCCAGGCCTAATGAGGTGATTGAGTGGTAAAAACACTTGGTGCCATGCCTAAAAACCTGCAACCAAGCCTCAGAACCCACATGGAAGAAGAGGACCACTCCTGCAAGTTTTCTGAGGAACCCCCAACAAACACAGACATACACACACACACGCACACACGTAAAAATTGTTTTCTTAAATGTATGTTTGATTTTGTGATACTCAAGGGAGTATAGGTTATTTAAACTTAGAACGCTAACACTAATTACATATAAAAAGTAGAGTCAAACATCTCTTTTTTTTTAAATGAGAATAAATTAAATTCTACACAAGCTTCTTAAAAACACAGATTTTCATTATGCTTCCCAAGATGGCGTCAAACTCCAGTGCTCTAGTGACAATACCATTGTAGCTTCCCAAAAAAGCTGAGCTATAGATACAGGGCCTTCCATCCACAAACTTAAATTCTAAAGAGCTCTTAGAAACTCTACAAAACATCCCCTTAAAAAAATTAACTAGCTGGGCCTGGTTGCATGGCTTATAGTTATATTAGCTGCTAGAAAGGTTGAGGCAGGAGGAATTGGAAGTTCAAGGCCAGTTTGAAACTCAAAAGGTACCAAGGTCTGAAGAAATCATTGAGTGATGGAGCACTCACTTAGCATGTTTAAGGCCATAGGCTCAATCCTTGGCACAGCCAGGAAAAAAACATCCAAGGTCTCTAAAATCAAATCTCACCTCCTTTACCCTTGGTGACCTCCAAGTCACGTTAGGTATTTCAAGTTAATAAAACAAAGACTAGAAGGTGGCTGAGCTAGTAAACGCACTTGCTGTACAGGCCTAATAACATGAGTTTTATCCCCTGAACACATGTGTGAGAGAGAACCAACTCCTCAAAGCTGCCCGCTGACCTCCACCTGTACACCATGACACACGTCTACACCCACAATAAAAGGTGAAGAAAGCCCAAAAGCAAACGCTTGGCAAAACGTGCTTAATTACTGTTTTTTTGTTTGTTTTTGTTTTTCCTGTTTGGAAAGAAAAACCTTATTTGACTCCCAACTCTAATTTCTTTGTCACTTTTGCCTTTCGGTATAAAATTATTTTGAAAGGTGAAGTATCACATGAACAGTCTTTGTACTGTAAGTTAGCTGTTTATGGGTAAAGGACCAAATTATAGTAGACTACTTACTTGAATGCAGCGGACAGTGTCTTGTTTTTCCGAACAAAAGTGATCCTTACTAAGCCATCCCATTCCTGAAATACAAGATGGTTATTTTACTCAGAATACTCAACTTTTATCTATGCCTGCTAGCTTTAATACATAAAGCCAGTGGGAATGAAAATGGCCTGTATCTTGATTGAGCTGGCACATATGAAAAAAGTTGCACACTCCTGTACTTGGGTGAATCCCACTGAATAATTATTTTTTTTTTTTTTTAATGGGGGTTAGTCACTATACACAACACAGCATTAGGATCACTTTCAAAATAGATGCAAGCTAGGCACAGTGGCACGTGCCTGTGATCCCATCGCTTACGACCAGCAATTGAAGGTTATCCAGTACATAGAGAATTTGAGTCTCATGAGACCCTACCTCAAAAAACCAAAACATCAAATTCAAAACATGATTTATGATGTCGCTTCAACAACTAATTAAATTTTATAAAAAATGGTCTGGTATTTTTCCTGATCACAAAATCAGTATTTTAATTAAAAAATGTTTGTCACAAGGGCTGAGGATGTAGTTCAGTGGTAGCACACTTGCTTCAGCAGGCAGAAGGCCTTGGGTTTTACAAGCACCACCAAAAAAAGAAGTGTTATCACAGTATTATCCAAACACAACTATTTTAATTTTCCATTGTTTCCCAAGTTTTATTCAGACATTTCCTGTAGCTATAATCTTAAGTTTTGAAATGGAACTATACTCTAGTCATTTTGCCTTTTACAAACATTTTCCATTTTCTGTGTGATAGTCCTAACTATTTTACATCAAGTTACTCCTCTTTCCTATCTTCCTGTTTGGTTATTTAGGTTGACTCAGTATTGTTTTTCTGCTTTAAAATGACATTTTCTAACCTGGATTTCTTGCCTTTAATGACCTAGTACTTTGGTCTCACCTGAAAATTGATAGGTGGTGGTGGATTCTTGGGTTCTATCCTTACAACGCTGGACTCCACCTTGGGGGGCGGTCTGAAGTTATTCTTCCCCACCTATTAATCAGAAAATATTTAGTCTTCTCAGAGGCAACTTTACTTTTTGTTTTGAGACAGGGTCTCACCATGTAGGTCTGAGTGGACTGGAATTCACAGAGATTCACCCCTCTGCCTCCTGATTGCTGGAATTAAAGGTGTGTGCCACCATATCTGGCACGGGTAACTTTTAAATTGGTTATCAATGATGTTCTGTTGGCCAGGTAATTCCAGCATTTAGAAGGCTAACAGTTCTAGGCTAGTCTGAATTAAAGAACAAGACCCTGTCTCAAAAAGGGGATAGGGATGGGATCTCAGAGGGCAAGGTAAAGTGCTCCAGGATAAATTAAAACTAAACTATTTAATGGGTTAAGAAACAAGCCAGACACAGTGGCACACGCCTGTAATCCCAGTACTTAGGGAGGCAGAGGCAGACGGATCCGTGAGTTCAATGCCAGCCTGGTTACAAAACGAGTCCAGGACAGCCAAGGATACAGAGAGAAACCCTGTCTCGAAAACAACCAACCAACCAACCAGCCAACAAAACAAACAAAAAAGTAATAAAACACATACCTTCATTAGATGGTCCACCCGTGCTAAAAGCTGTGTATTAATGGAGAGTCTACAATATAATTTATCTCCAGGTTTTGCAACTAAACGAAGAGCAAATTCTCTTTGAAACATAAGTATAGCACATCTGAAAAGGAAGCAGAAAGGAACAAAAATAATTTGCTCACTTTGAATTATAGCGATATTTTTTAAGTAAAAAAAAAAAGTTTTTTTATATTACACTTCTGAGTGTTGTGCCTGCATGTATGTATTTGCACTGTGTGTGGAATTGGCCATGAAGGTCAGAAGTGGGCACTGGATGTGAACAGGAGTTACAGGCAGTTGTTAGCTGCCATGTGGTTGCTAGGAACAGAACCCCTGTCCTCTGCAAGAGCAACACATGCCCCTAACTACTAAGCAATCTTCCAGTTCTTATAGTTGTATTTTTAACGACAGTGAATTGTCCTGGGAGGATCTGTGGCTAATAAGGTCAGAAGGAAGAACACTTTCAGCCTTAGTGCTATTTCCACAAAACAGACAGCTGTACTGTAACCCCCACGAAGATGGCTTTCCATCATGGGTTAGATCAACAATTACTTTGATCTGTATTATGTTAGTCTAGGATGCCTTCTGTAAAAACAGTAAAGTTGACTCCACTGGAGAACTGTATTTATGGCTGGAATTATATCTGAGGTGTGGCCTGGTAGGTTACAATGTCTTGTGTTTCCTCAGCTTAATTTAAAGTATGTGGAGTTTTTCTTCTGCAGCAATGGAGACAGTTTTAAAGGTTATTGAAGAGAAGAACATCTTCAAAACTATATTTGACTTTTTGCATGTTGTGTACTGAGAATTGCATGCAGGCAATTTAACTGAGCTGTATCTCCAGTTGTTCTTTTTATTTTGAGATCAGGTCTCACAAAGTTGGCCAAGCAGGTCTGAAATTCACCATCCTTCTAACCTCAGCCTCCAGAGTATATTCATATATGCCTAGAAATATCATTCAAAACTTTTATAATACTATATGTAGTTGTCTTCTGATATAATCTATGTCCTATCATTTAAAATGGGGGAAGGGTAAAGGCATGTTACCAAGCTTGATGACCTAAGTTTAATCCCTGAGCTCCTGCAAGCGCTGACCTCTGTAAGTGCATGGGCACATGAGCACACACTTGCGCATGCACACATTTTTTAAAACATGGCTATGTTTTCCACAATTTATGAATTTATAAACACTGAGCAGGTATGTGACTTGGTTTCAAAACCACTGGTATAAAACATACTGTCTTAATAGTTAAGAAGTTACTACAAGTACCTAGATATAATGTAAGAAAAAATTTTATCAATGTTTATTTGAAGAGGATTAGAAAGTAAAAGGAATGGCACGTATATACATTTACCACCCCAGGTAAATTATCAACTAAAAGACCTCCCTGAGAATCAGTATTTTTATGCATGTGTGTGCATGTGTTTCTGAGACAAGAGTATCATGCAGTCTAGGCTGGCCCTGAACTCGCTATGTAGCCAAAGATGAGTATGAAGTGATGCCCCTGCTTCTGGTTCTTGGGTACTGGGAGATGCTCACCACCATGCTGAGTTTTATGTGGTGCTGGAGACTGAACACGAGGATCTCTGGATGCTAATAAGCATTCCACTCCAACTCACCTACATTCCTGTCCTGGAGAACTTTTGTAAAAAATAACCGTTTCTGGGACAGGAATGTAACCGAGTTGGCTGTGTTCCTGGCCTAAATTGTCTAAAATTTAGCAGTAACTTTGTTTTTCACAAACCTGAAAAATGGTCGGTGGAGTAACAACTTGAAGACAAAAGGAGAGGAGATCTGAAAGAGAATTACTAGTTAGATTTGAGGAAAGACACATCAGAGAAATGCTTAGTATGATGCTCCTGACAGTCTGAAGAATACCTGATAAGGCAAGTTTGCCACACAAGCATCAAAGAACGGCAAATCTGATTTTAATACATCTCCCACCAGGACCTGGAGTTTGCTGGCCAGAGGCCTGAAAATACAGAAAGAAATTTTAAGAGAATGTTGTTTCAAGAGATTAAGATGTACTTTAATTATTACATATACTCACGTGCCCTGAACTCTTTTGTGAAGTTCAGCTACTAGCCTTGGATCAAGTTCACAAGCAACTACCTACATTAACAGGAAGAAAAAAGCTTGATTGTGAAGTATAAATCTTTTACCATCAAAGTAATAATTCATACATGATTTAAGGTTTTAAATCATGATTTAAAACCTTTAATTTACATGATTTAAGGTTTTTTCCAATCTTAACACCCCCTCAACTATATTCTACCACTTTAGAAAACATCCTGTTTCACCTGTGTCTATGCTTTGTAACTGAACAGATGATGAGAAGAATATACTAGATGTGGTCAGTGTTTTTAGACAGCACACATGGGACCTACTTCCATAAGTATTCTCATCAGCTGACATCCAGACTAGAAGGCGTAACACTGGAAATGAATGAAAATGGATGAAGCTTAAATTATTTTACTATACTATCCACAGAGGTTTCACTGAGTTTCCTGACTGTGTCTACAGGATAGACACTTGTCAAGTTGCCTATTCTGTTTGACTCTAAGATCCATTCTTCATCTCTTTTGTACCATGTAGGTACCCTCTACCAGTCTCTGTTGAACTTGGTCCTAATAACTTTAACTTGGTTGGCTTGTTCCTCCAGGCTTCGTGATGGTTACCTGCTTCTTGCAGTTAGTTTTAGGTTATCTCAGTATTCCCATTCCATTGTTACTCCTTTAATAAACATGTAATGTATTCCTGTATTAGATCCCCTATCAATACACAAAGTGTAAAATCTGTTTTCTTGATAAGAACATCTAATTTTCTTAATTAGATAATATTTCCTAATTTCTTTTTTTTAATCCCGCAAGACAGGGTTTTTCCATGTGGCCTTGGCTGTCCTGGAAGTTGCTCCACAGACTAAGCTGGCCTTGAACTCACAGAGCTCCACCTGCCTCGGCTTTCCAAGTGTTGGGACCACCACTGCACAGACCTAGAAATAAAATTTCTGAAGGCTCACTAATTACTTTTGAAACAATGGAAATTAACTAAAACATTTATATTTGCAAACCAGCTGAGCTAATTTGATAGTGACACATGAAAACCACCTTTTTACCTTTTTGGCCTTTTCTAACAGCTTCACAGTCATGTTGCCAGTTCCAGGCCCAACTTCCAGCACCACATCAGTAGGTCTTAAAGCAGCCTGCAAGCAAGCACAACTCCTTTATGCTTCCGGCCTTCCTAAACACACAGTTTAATAATGCACAGTTTCATCAAGGCACAGTTAAAAGAGATTTTACTCTAACTTCATTTTTCTTCAGGATATATGTGGTTAACAGTAGTAGTACCTCAAAAGCATTAGGATATATGAAAATCTACATATATATATATTCCCTAACCTAGTGGAAATATACTTAACTTCTGAAGGAAAAAAAAAAGACAAGCAGTTCCACTGGTGGGTCCCTGCTTTCTACACTGGCAGTAATCCCACTAAACTGTAACTAACTGCTCCTTTCAACAAGTTCAAATGTAAAAAGACTGCATAATGAGCTTGCCTAAGAATCAGCATGTGGGAGCAAGATTTCCCATTTCTTAACCACCGTGTAGTTTTACAAATTATCAAAACCACAGAAAAATGTATGTGTACACATACAAGAAGAATACTCTTTTTATGGCTCCAGGATGTTTCCCTTGTAAGCATAGTAGTTTGTACTATCTATATTTTACCTCCTGGCACTCAATCATCCATAACCACAACACAATAGCACATACAGAAGGAATCCTTAATTTATGTGCAGGTACCATATTTGTGGGGGGAGGGGAGGAACAAACTCACTGTGACTTAGACATAAAATTAACCTCTGGAATAAAAAATGAGTAAAGTGATGTCCTTAGTGATCACAATTATAGATGCTTGGAAAGTAGAGTTCAAGGCTACCTTTGTCTATATATATCATGTTTGAGGCTAGCCTGGGTTACATGAGACCCAGTCTCTACAACAAGAAAAACCTCCAAAAAGTGATTCCATAATCTGTAAATTAAAGAACAAATACCAAAAAAGTACACTTCCAAAGTAGATAATTCACAGAAAGAGAAGACTTGAAGGTCAGCAGAAACAGACTCAGAATAAAGCATGCAAAAGACAGCATGTGAATCCTAGACAATTCCTAACTCATTCAACAAATTCAAAGCACCTATTTTATGTCAGGCACCCAATCTTACTTTTATCAGAGTCTCAACTATGTAGCGCAGGCTTGGCTCTGAACACAACATCACCCTGCCTCAGCTTCCCCAAGTGCTGGCCTAGAGGCACACAACATAACCAGGCGTTAAGTACTCCGAAACAGATTAACGACACACAAGCGCTCTGCCTTCCCTCTTCTACACCCACCTTATCAATAATGCTGTTAACAACTAGAGGATTTTTCAAAATGTGCTGCCCAATCCCTGTGTTGAACATGAGTCCTGGAATAAAACACGAAGCAGCCTTAATTTCCCAACTTTTCAAGAATCAATCCCAGGCCGTCCCAGAGAAGCAGCAGGATGGACGGGGGGGCGATTTCTGCTCCAAGGATGCCTCAAGCGACCCGCTCGCAGCTAGGGTTGGGATATGGCTTTATATCCATCCGTCCTCCTGCTGGCAAGGAAGACCAAGCGCGGGGAGCCGTCAGCGCCGAGTGTCCACCCTCCTCAGAGCCACAGGAGGCCTTCCCCGCCGCCGGTCGGTCCGCACCGAGACGCGGTCGGCCCCCAGCCTCCTCCACGCCGCACCTCCGGCTCGCTTCAGCTCCCGGCGCTGCTCCTGCCGCTCGCGCCGGCGACCACTCGTCGCGGACTTGACTTTCGGCATCTTCTCAGGAGTCTCTGGGGCAGGTGTAAGCAGTGGGGCACCGCGTGGAAGTCGCCGTCAGTGTCGTCACGACCAGGCGCCAGAGAGGCCCGCTTCCCCTCCCACTGCTATCAAGGATCCACCCAGTGAGCGGCTGGATGGAGCCCAGTGGCCGCTGGGAATTGTAGTTTCTGCTGAGCCCCCTCCTTAGGCCAGGCCGGGTGGCCGCCGGGAATTGTAGTCTCGGCTGGAGCAACGCCTTCCTCCAAGAGCTAGGGTTCCCAGAAGACACCGCGCCGCCCAGCCAAGTGGTTCGGATTGGCTGGGTCCAGATTGGCAAATTGATTCCTTGGTTTGCCCCGGCCCTGGGACCTCTGATTTCCGAGGGAAGATGTCCCATATGTCTCTTTTCCGTCTCCTCGCAGGTTGCAGGGCGAGAAGCTAGGCTTGAGGGATGACGACCTTGGTGGTTTTGTGTAAGGTGTCTCTTTCCGCTGCTCGTACTGTGGAAAGGAATTTGGAGATTAGAAGTAGCTCTCGTTCCATTTTGGTACCTACTGTTTACTTATTTAAAGATACGGGGCATAAAAATTTCAAAACCCTGTAAATGTGATTGATTTTAGGTATATATTGGATATTTTGATGGGACAGTTTGCCGGGCTGTAATCTCCGTAAAAAGACTCCTGGCTGTTTTTCCTGCCAGTGACTCTCAATTTTAATTTTTCTGTATGTACTCCAAAGAAGGCCTTTGTTACCCACCACCAAAGATGAAAAACTGTTTTTCCAAGCCGTGGTTTTAGTCCTTCCTTTCTTTGCTGTAGTTTGAACTCAGGAAGAATTCTAAAATACCCTAATAGAATATCTAAGTTTTACTGTTGCTCCTACCAAAGAAGACCACTTGGACACCGCCAGTTGAAAGTCTTTATTCTAGCCGCCTGGTTGACTATACCAGGGTATTCAGGACCAAAGTGCAGCGTTGAGCTGGAAAGCCCCGAAGGTTCCTATCCTGAAGCTTCAAGCTAAGGAGAGTTACAAAAGCCGAAATATGTGATTAGAAAAAAAAATTGGGAGATGTTTTTCTTCCCGAATTATTTTTTCTTAAGCTTCCCCATACAGTTACTGGCACTTTACTCAGCAAGACAAAGTTTACCTGAGGAGCTAAAATGGAGTCACTTCAGTCAACTTACAGCCCCTGTCACTTATGTCATTCCCTTTATTATTGATATGCACAATTCGGGAGAGTCTGCAGTACGCCCTTCACTGCCATACTGGGATGGAAAAGATGAACATGACACCACCCCTGCTTTTTAAAATACCTTACTCTTAAAAGGGGGAGGGGTACTGGCTGAGACACCTATCAATATACCAGATACCTGGACGGCCTTCCTGGGGGGTGGCACAAGCCTTCTCTTCATTCACTACGGCAGCAGCACTGCACATGCTGGACCAAAGCTGATGGTGAGTCCGTTCTGAAAGATCCTCAGTTCATTTTCCATAAGCAAGAGAAGATGGACCCCATCTGAACATCTGGCAGGACCACAACTATCTACACAACCAACACACACAAAAACGGCATCTTTGCTAATCTGAGAATTTATCCACAGGGAATGGTGTTGCTGGACCTTTAGCATTATAACAATGTTGAACAAGACAAACAAGAAACTTAACAGTTTTTTTTTTTTTTTTAACAAAATAGAAGAAAGAAATGAATGAGGGCAACACACTTGGCAGGTGAACTTTTACTCAGGGTGAGGCCATGGGCGGACACTTAGCCAACTGCTGATGAGCATCTTGTTGAGTAGGATACAGGTGAGTGGAGTATGTATGATGAAGATTCAGCTTATCAGAACATTAAAATTCTATACTCAAGGCAATTTGGAAATATTCTCATTCTTAGTAACGATGTTAACTTGGCAGGACATGACTTATGGGTAGTGGGGAAGAAGATTATATGGCAAAAATGGACTGATTCTGGGAGGTGGAGATGGCGGTTTATTATATATATTTTTAAAAATACACTTTAACTGAAATCAAAGATGGTCACTATGGGACTGGAGAGATGGCTTCGGTTAAGGGCACTGGCTGCTCTTCCAAAGATCCTGAGTTCAATTCCAACAACTACTTGGTGGCTCATAACCATTTATAAAGGGTTCTGATGCCCTCTTCTGGCATGTATGTGTACATGCAGATAGAGAACTCCTACACTGAATAAATAAATTTAAAAAGATTGCTACTAAAAATAAATAAATTGTCACTCTGGTAGACACTCTTGGACTGGTGAGTGACAGATTTAAGAAATATATGTGAAGAACATGTGTGACATCATTGACAAGGAGCTTGTTATCAGATTATCACAGAAGAATATTCCATTATTGGAGAGATATGTCAAAGACAAGAGAGTTTGATTATGTGATTAATGATTTGACCACTGTTTGATCTCTAAATCTCCAGAAGATGATTCCATATGAGAGTTTCTCAGACTGATTCTCAGACATCCAATGAAAGTGCTAAAATAGGATGGGGAATTCTTTCCACAACTGTATCGATTTGACAATGCTCTGTCTCTGTGAAGAACTGGGACACCTGTATTGTCCTGTGGACTTTTTTGTTGTTGTTTTGTTTTTTAAGACATGGTTTGTCTGTGTAGCCTTGGCAGTCCTGGACTTGCTTTGTAGACCACGCTGTCCCCAAACTCACAGAGATCCATCTGATTCTGCCTCCCCATGTGCTGGGATTACAGAAGGAAATTACTGTGTTCTTTCATATTGGAATTGTATTTTATGCCTTTGAAAGAACACTAAGCCTTAAAGATGAGCATCTGTAGGCTTATATTTTTCAAACACCTACTTTAAGGTTCTTAAACCTTTAAAAACCTTTACCTCCCCTCCAACTCCCTGACCTTAGGTAGGAGATTAGTAGGGAAAGGGACTGTAGACTTCTTTTAACTTCTTCCTGCTGATTGGGATCTATGGCTTCTTAGGGAATTACCAAACTCAGTCACTGGGATACCAGAAGTCTAGTCACACAGCAAAGCAGCAGCTGAAACACATCAACAGCATTGAAACAATTTAGTTGAAACAGCTAGACTCCGCTGAAATGGCACAAGTCTGCCGAAGTAGTACAAGCAGTTCTCTGGAGCAGTTCTCTTTGCAAAGACCAACAGACCGGGGAAGGATGCAAACCATTGCAACACATAGCAATGCAAAAGCATAAAGATGCAGAAAGCTTGTCTCACTGTCTATGGGCTTCTATATATCCCTTCTCAGAGTCTCCACAAGGATGTTTTGCAGCTCACAAAAACCACACCCCTCACACAAAGGATGTTTCAGATGACCAACATCACACATTTTCAAGGGAGCTGTTTTCCACAGGGAAAAAAAAAACATTCTCACATCCCACATTTGAGACCCAAACAAAAAAACAGTCACATGACACAACTGAGTTTCCACAGAAACCAGAAACTCCACTTCAAGCATCTCCTGATGACATGTCCTGCAAGTCTACTTCTTGACCTTCAAGAGCTGTATATGCCATCAAATGAATCAGCCATTGATTGTGAATTTGTACCAGTATTTTTCTCTTAAAATTATTTTTAATGTTTAAAAGCCAGTGGAACATGTACATTTTCATAAGCTGCTATGGTGTTAAGTTTTTGAAAGTTAGCTGAAAGCAGAGAAAAAGTGAAATACACTGCCCATCCTAGAAAGTGGTTTTTCTATTGTTTTTCTTTTTTTTTTTTGGGGGGGGGGGGCAGGGAGGTTGAGTTTCGGTTTCAGGAGAACTTCAGTTTGGATGTTTGGAGGAAAAAACATTATTTGTTCTAGAGATGTTACTGATGGTGCTGTTCCCTCTTCGACATGACTTCCAACATTGACTTAAATATTAAAATGTGGAACCCAAAAGAAAGATAAAATAAACAATGAATTAACTCTGCTTCACTTAAGTTGCAAAAGAGAAAAAGAAATAACAAAGGGATAACAAAACAAAAAGAAATAACAGAGGGATGGCCTAGCCGGTAAAGACAGTAGCTGGAGCCACAGTAGAAGGAAATAACCTACTCCTGAAACTTGTCCTCTCATTTCCATACATGCAAGCCCCCTTATCCCCCTTCTCCACCCCCAGCTACCACATTTTTGAGAGGGGTGGGAAAGTTGAGAGTGACAAGTACAATAACAGCACTACAATTTACATTCCAGGTACTGTACATTATTACCCTTATTAACCTTTCCAAACCGTTCTGTGGGGTCGTTAATATATCCATTTGTGAAGAAAGTGAAGGGCAAAAATGTATAGTATCTTGCTTATGAAGGTGTAATAAATGACAGATGTTGCTTTAAAATGAGGCCCTTTTTTTTGTAGGCATGGTGCTTGAAAAGTATATTATAGTGCTTTAGCTGGCATTTGAGGAGATTGGGGGCTATATACAAAATACAATATTTGAAACTGGACATGGTGGCACAGTCTTTTAAACCCAGCACTTGGGAGGCAGAGACAGGAGGATTACTGAGAATTCAAAGCCACTCTGGGCTATATAATAAGTTCCAGGTCACCTAAATGAGCCTTGGTTGAAGGAGGAGGAGGAGGAGGAGGAAGAAAAAAGAAGAAAGAAAACGAAGAAGAAGAAGAAGAAGAAGAAGAAGAAGAAGAAGAAGAAGAAGA